GCACCACCCTCAGATATCCTGTGTAGGGACCTACCCTTAACCTGCCTTGGTGTCTGGCTTCTGGGTTTTCTGGGCCCACCTTTTAAAATGCAAATCCTTTCAGCTGGAGCCCCATCCTGCCCTGAGTCCAGAGTGAATGAGTGCAAGAGTCTCTCTCTCTCTCTCTCTCTCTCTCTCTCTCTCTCTGTCTCTCTCGGAGGGATTGGAAAAAGCCTAGGATTCTGGCTACCAGATGCCACTGCCTTTCCTGGGGGGTAGCACCCGAGGCTTTTTCAGGTTGGGAAACAAGTTTAATTAACAACTTGCTCATCTGTAAAGAGGTGGGACCTAGGGGTTATCCAGGGCCCCGTCCAGCTCTGCCACTCTGCGGCCTTGTTCCCTCTGGGGAGAGCACACTAGTTCTGGGGGCCCCTGTGTGGCAGCCACACTGGCCTTTGTCTTGTTTGGAAGCGGTCAATTGCAGATGGCCTGTCTCCCCATCAGTGGATGGATGTCAGCTCCAGTGAGCAGATTCACCTCCCTCGTAACTGTGGCAGGAGCAGTGCTTGGAAGTGTCTGGCACAGAGCAAGTGTTCAGCAAACAGTCGAGTGGCTGAGGAGCATGCATGCTCCCTTTCTTGTGTCCCTTGACAGGAGGAGCCCATGTGAAGACTTGAGAGTGGGGGCGGTTTGGCACTGGACTTAGCCCTGGGAGTCAGAATATGAACATATCACAACCCCCTACCCTAAGCTAGGCTCTGTTGAGGGGAAGGTACCGGGTTCCAGTCGCTAGCCTCCACTTGCTCGCATGCTTGAGCCCTATGACTTCCCACTGAGGGAAGTTCATCTCCACCCAGGCTCTGTGGTCTCTCCTGGTCTCACCTCCTCAGAGGAGCAGCAACACCCCCATATCCCAACTGTGGGAGGCAATGGGTTTAAGGCCCAGGGCTTACAGGGGAGAGTGAGAACACCATAGACTCGCCATCACCCAGAGACCCTGCATCACCTCAGATAGGCCGCTCAGCCGGTCCCAGGAGTTAGAGGTCTGTGTAGATGTAAGACAGGGTGGGAACTGGCTGAGGAAACTGAGTCATCCTCTGAGACTCTCACTAGATTGGCATCAGATCCAAGATACCAGCCAAATGGTGCTATTGGTCATCTGAGAAAATCTGAGGACGGTGCCTCAGGAAAGTAGCCAGAGGGGGGAGGAGGTCACAGGGGCTGGGGTGACAAGGGGAGGTTGTCCATCTCAGCTGGTCAGTCACAGCCTGAGTCTGTCCCCCCACCCAGAGATGACCTCTCACCATCTAGGACACACAGCTGGGATGGGCCTCCTGGCCAAATCAGGGTAGGCGCTCCATTTCCTCTTCCTCCTGGATAGAGACCCCCAAGTAATGGCCTTCGCTATTGTTTTTGCTTACCAGGTCCCGTCCCCTGTAGCATCTCTTGAAGCCTAGCATCTACCACATGAGGCAGGACTGATTATTCTCATTTTGTAGACCTAAAGACCCAGGTGGGAAGCAGTTACATAGCTGCAGGGCAGGGGATTGGGGTTAAGCCTGTGGGCCTGGGCCCTAAGGAGATTCACCCTTGGATTCAGAGTCCTTCCAGCCTCTGGTGTGAAAGAAAATCTTTAGAATCACACCAGAGCCAAGTAGAAATGAAGAGGGGGCAAGTGGGGTGCATTTGAGGATCCTGGAAACAGCCAACATTTGAGTGGGGGTGGGGTCACCTGAGGGCACCTGGGGGAGTTAAGTATGCAGCAGTTTTCTTTGGTTTCTTGCAGTCTTCCAGAAAGGCAAGTCTAGCTGCAGTTTCCCTGGGGCCATCTGGGTGGTCACGAAGAGGAGGAGCCTGGCCCCCTACACGTTTGGAAAGTCCTCCAGATGGAAGAGTGCTGTCTAGAACCTAGAACTCTAAGGAAGGCAAGATTTCAGAGGAGAGGAAGAAAGAATTAGGGGGAAAAAAAACAGGCAAAAAGAAAGTGGCTGGATAGAAAGGCACGTGTGGTTGAATTTTAATGCAATCAGAAGGCTGTCATAATGATAATAAAGGAATATATTCAGACTTCAGGAGAGAGGAGAAGGCACAGGCTGCAGTCCCAGCATTTAAATCAGGCTCAGGTGGAGGAGGGGCCTACTCTTCCCTCCCTCTTTCCTTCCCAGGGAGGAGACAAAATTTCTAAATAGGAGGGCAAGGGATTAGCTGGAGGCAGGGGGTTTCACTTCATTGTCTTTCTGGAAATCCCATTTAATCTGAGTCTTTAAAAGGTGCTGGGGGGTGAAGGGAAGCCCTTGGCCCGCCAGGACCTCAAAGTTGCAACATCTCAAGGCTCCTCTGAAGGTCTGAGAAGCTCCGTCCACTTCTTGCAAAATACTGCTGCTGCTTCTGGGAGTTAAACAAAAGCCCCTGACCCTCTCTCCTTTCTCTCTGCCCTTTTTTGCTCTCTTTTTCTTTTCTTTTTTTTTTTTTTAAGATTTAATTTATTTATTTGAGAGAGAGAAGGAGAGAGAGAGAGAAGAAGCACGAGGTGGGGGGCAGGGGCTGAGGTACACAGAGAAGCAAGCCGATTCCCTCCTGAGCAGGAAGAAGCCTGATGCTGGGCTCAATCCCAGGACCCTAAGATCATGACCTGAGCTGATGGCAGAGGCTTAATTGACTGAGCCACCTGGGCACCCTTCTTTGTCTGTTTCTGATTCTTTTCACTCCATTTCTACCATTTCTTTCTCCCTCTGCCCCTAACCCCATCTCCCTCCACCCATTCTCAGCTTCACTGCTCCCTCCTCCCCCCACCATCTCTCTTCCTTACTTGCTCTTGGTTTCCCAGTCCAGAGTCTGGAATCCCTGAGCCCTGAAGATGGGGCCAGGGTCTGTGTAGCCCTGGGATGACCCAAGAAGCCAGGTCGAGCAGCCCGGCAGGGGCACTTGGCAGGGCTGGATTTCCAGCCCCTAGAGCTTTGGCTGAAGCCCACTAGTGGTGAAGGGCTAGGCTGGTGTGTCCTGGTGCAGAACTGGTAACAGGAACTGGCAAAAATGCCCTACATGGCCTCTGGAAGGAGCTGGGAGCCAGGGTGGCTTCATCATTGAGGAAGGTCCCAGTGTTCAGTGGGAGGGCAGAGGTCAGAGCTTCATGAAGAGGAGGACTCTGGGGTGGCTTGTGAAGCAGTGCAGGGGCCTGTTGGTTTCCTCTGCTTTGCTCTGGACCTCAGGACAGCCCCTCAGCACTGTGTGAACTCACCTGGCAGTGTGGGCAAGGGGGGGGGCTCCCTGGGGCAGGAGGTATCAGCCACCTTGAGTATAGAGGGACACGGTCCCAGAATGCTCTCACCTTCCAAAGAACCATACATCCAAGGCCATTTGCAATTTGGGGGTGTGCATTTATTTCTGCAGCCTTGGCTTATGTGTCCCTGTATTTGTCAGTCATTCAAGAGTCAACAAACATCTAGTGAGTACCTGCTGAGTGCTGCTACCACAGGGATTCTGTTCCAGCTACTGTGGCTGCATAACAATTTAGCCCCAAACTGAGTGGTGTAAAAAAACCATTTGTTACTAACAGATCCTGCGGGTTAGGAATTCAGACAGGGCACAGCATGGAAGGCCTATCTCTGCTCCAGGGTGTCTGGAAGACTCAAAGGCTGGGGTCTGGAATCATCTGCAGACTCATTCATCCCATGTCTGGTGGGTGATGTGGGCTGTCAGCCGGGGGCTCTCCCAGTGAGCTAGTTGTAAGTTCTTCACAGCAGGGTGCCTGGCTTCCTTAGAGAAAGCTACCCAAAGACAACCAAGTAGGACTGGATCCCTTTTATGACCTAGCTTGGAAATCAGCAGGCATCCCTTCTGCCATTCTTTATTGGTTAGAGCAGTCGCAGCCCCGCCCAGATTCAAGGGGAGGGAGCCCAGCCCCAACTTAGTGGGAGGAGTTAAGGTCACCTAGCCCTAAGCTTGTGGGATGGGAAATCTGGCAGTCACAAGCTGTGGCGGATCCACATAGTCCAATGTGATGATCCCTGTTACCCTAAGCATGCAACCAAGAGGTCAACAAACCACTTGGGACTCGACACAGGTTAGAGGGATGCTGGTGAGAGAACCCAGCCTTCAGGAACAGGTCTCCCCCAAAAGTGCCCAGGGCTAAATTTTGCAGCATGAACTAGGAAGGGCCACACCACGAAAGGGACACCAGATGGAGGTGAAAACAATGTGAGACAGAAAGAAGGTGTGACCGTGGGAATGGCTCAGGGCATTCATTCATCCACTCCATGCCCCTGTCCTGAAGGCTTACTATGTGCCAGGTTTCGCGGCTCCAGCCAAGGCCTGGTCTCTTCCCCCGGGGAGAGGAGATGGGGTGGGGGCAGGGAGCTAGACGGAAGCCAGCTACACAGGCAAGGCCATAAATGTCCTTTGAAATCTGGGCCATGAGGAGGTGAGACAGAGGGTAGAAGAGAGCAGGAAGGAGGGATCTCGATGAAGAAGCAATATTTAAACTGAGACCTACAAGAAGAGAAGAATTCAGCCTTGTGATGTGGGAGGCGCTTTGGGCAGAGGGAGCAGCCTCTGCAAAGGCCCTGTGGCAGATTTGACTGTTGAGAGTTAATGTTGGCATCTGTGGGTAAAGGTGGCTCAAGAAGTTAGCGTGTGTCTAAGAGGATGGAGGAAGGGAGTGCCGGGTGACTCGTGTGCCACCCGTGTGCCACCCGTGTGCCATCTGTGTGCCCTAGGTGAGCAGCCAGACCAGTGGCCTTGCTCCCTCTGCGTGCTGTCTGCCCTCTGGGCGGGAGGGGGCACAGTCGCTGTCATCCGGCTCCCTGGACCCAACCCCCCTTCCTCACCTCCTCCGGCTTTGCTCCCCCTCCCATCCCCCTGTGGCCGGTCCTGCTCTAGCTCCGCCCCGCCCCAGCCCTGCCCCTCGGGCTCCGAGCCCTCTCCCTGCCCAGCTCTTCCCTCCCCCACCCCCTCCCTCTGCGGCGGTGCCCTGCAGCCCGGCTCCCCGAGGCCCGGGTAAGCATCTCCTAATTTTGTTCCAGAAGATAGAAAACTCTTCGTGGGCATGCTCAATAAGCAGCAGTCCGAGGACGACGTGCGCCGCCTGTTCGAGGCCTTCGGCAACATCGAGGAGTGCACCATCCTGCGCGGGCCCGACGGCAACAGCAAGGGTGCGTGGGGGCGGGGCCGCGGGCGCCCCCTGCCGGCCGCCTCGCCTCCCGCGGGGTCCGGGCGCCCCGCGCCTGCGCGCGGCGGAGGAGCCTGGAAGCGGCGAGGGGGCGGCGGGAAGGCGGCGGCGGGGGGCCTAAGGGTGCCTCGAGCTCTCGGCGCCTCCAGGTCTGCCGGGGTGTCTGTTCCTCGCGTCTGTCCGTGTGTCCCCTCCCGTGTCCCCTCGGCCCCTCCCGTGCCGCGCCGCTCAGCCTCTCGCGTCCCCCCAGGGTGCGCCTTCGTGAAGTACTCCTCCCACGCCGAGGCGCAGGCCGCCATCAACGCGCTGCACGGCAGCCAGACGATGCCGGTGAGTGGGGCCGCCGGCCCGGAGGGACCGAGAGCCCGAGGCCCCGCCCCCGCCGCCCGCCGCCCCGCCCCCGCCGCCCGCCGCCCCGCCCCCCGCCGCCCGCCGCCCCGCCCCCCGCCGCCCGCGGCTCACAGCGCCCCCCCCCCCCCCCCCCCGAGGCGGGAGGGCTCCATCGCCGTCGGCATCTTTCAGACCCGGACACCGAGGCCCAGAGATGCTAAGGAACTGGACTGCTCCTAGACAAAACCCGCTCGCGGGGCGGGGGGGGGGGGGGGTTAAGATCCCAGGCCGCCGGGGAGTGGTTGCCCCCGGTCCCTCCCCCCGCCCCCCCAGCCCCTGGAGAGGGTCGGGTGGGTCCGGGCTGGGGGCAAGGGCAGCTGGGAGGGGAGGCGGCTGGGGCGAGGGGGCCTCACGCACAGTAATGGCTGCAGGGAGCCTCATCCAGTCTGGTGGTCAAGTTTGCCGACACCGACAAGGAGCGCACGATGCGGCGAATGCAGCAGATGGCCGGCCAGATGGGCATGTTCAACCCCATGGCCATCCCATTCGGGGCCTACGGCGCCTACGCACAGGCAGTAAGTGGGGGCGCAGCCCGGCGGGTTTGGGGGGAGCGCAGCTGTTCCCCAGCTCACTTTGCTCAGAGCCCCACAGAGCAAGGACACCTAACAGCGCCGAGGGGAGCCCTGCTCCCGGCCCAGAATATCCTGCCGCCCTGGGGTATGAGTGCTGAGGAATGAACCCAGGCGGTAGAGGCCAGAGGGGGTTAAGCCAAGGCTAGGCTGATACAGGGTGGCTGCCAGGAGGAGGAGGGGGGGGTGCTGTCCTTTTCTAAGCTAGAGAGAAGGCCTCTGAGCCAGGCAAGTGCTCTTCCACTAGTCAAACCCTAGGAAGCACCACTGGGAAGTGGCAAGAGAGGCTCAAGTGAGTGTCACCGCTCTTGCTCTCACTCATGGAAGGGGGTCCTAAGGCCCCTGGGCATTCCTTGCAGAGGTCCTTTGAGGCGCCCCCAAGGCCCTCCATGTCCACACCTCCCCTGCAGTGCCCCCCCAGACCCCGCCATTTGCTGCTGACCACCCACTTCTTTCTTCCACATTGGAGCCGGCTCTGTCCACATCTCCCCTGAGCTGCCCCCCAGACTTGTAACCACAGCCCCCACACGCATAGCACTGAGGTAGGCCAGGGTTTCCGTTCCAAAGAGGTAAGCTCACTTCAGTTCTTCAGCAGTGTCCAAACTTGGCCATGTCAACAACCTACCCAATCCCCACTCACCTTTTTTGAGAACACTGGGGTGCCTAGAGTTCTACTCATGATTCTCCTGCTGCTTCTACCCTAGACTCCCAAGTTAGGACCATTTTAAACAAATCCATGCCAAGTTAGTCCTACAGAGGCTCATCTAATATGTCTCTTGAGCTTTGGGTGTCACATCTCCATGGATGACAGACCTTTCACAGGGCTGACCAGCACCCATGGAGCCAGTCCCCCCTCTTTCTACAACTTTAGAGTCCCTAGACCCTGTCATTACTTATGAATACGGTGCTCTCAGGCGGTGGGCGTGGAGAGATATAGCTGAACTCCCTGGAGTCCAGGGCCCAGGAAGCTGGTGTCCAAGAACTGAGCCCCTGGTGGGGAGGGCTGCCCCCCTGGAAGCGCATGATATTTTTTCCACTTCTCTGCCCCAGCTGATGCAGCAGCAAGCGGCACTAATGGCATCAGTCGCACAGGGCGGCTACCTGAACCCCATGGCTGCCTTCGCCGCCGCCCAGATGCAGCAGATGGCGGCCCTCAATATGAATGGCCTGGCGGCCGCACCCATGACCCCAACCTCAGGTGAGTGCGCAGGTACCCACACAGGGTCTGGCCAGGCAGGAAAACAGCTGTGCTCAGGGTGGGACCTATTGATGGGCCAATTTTGTCCACCAGTGGACCTTCCTATGGCCTGAGCACACATGTATGGGCCCAAGCAGGCCTCATCCTCCAGAAGTTTGTCTTAAGAATGTTCCAGTCCCTAGGGACTTAAGGGAAGATGGGATGCAGGCCCCATGCTATCAATGACATGATTTCAGGGTGGTGACAATTTCATTTAAGTCACTGAGCCATGTCAGGAAGTAAGTAATCTTCATCTCTTTTATAGATCTCTAGAAAGAAATTCACATGAAAACACTTCCCTTTGAGGTCTGAGGGGGTAAAGAGCCTTGCGTATTCTGTGACCTTGTTAGGTTCCCGACCTGACCACAGAAGGAGCCCCGTTTTTTCATTTTTCTTTAACCCAACCTTGACTCATTGGCTTTTCCTAAGACAACTGCACAACAAGCAGGAGAGGACCTCAGGAGTTATTAAAGGACAGGGAGCTTGGAAATAACCCTTTTCACAAAGCATATTCTTTTTAAAAAAATTTTTAATTAAAAAAAAATTTAAGGAGGGTTTTTTTGTTTGTATGTTTTGTTTTGAGAAAAAGTAAGCAAGAGAGAGCCTGAACTGGGGGAAGAGGCAGAGGGAGAGGGAAAAGCAGGCTCCCCACTGGGCAGGGCACCTGATGTGAGGTTCCATTCCAGGACCCTGAGATCGTGACCTAAGCCAAAGTCTTCACTGACTGAGCCACCCAGGCTCCCCACAAAGCATGTTCTTAATTGGATCTTAGTTATTGTTCAGTTCAGTGACTCTCAACCCGGGCAACTTTGTCCCGCTGCCCCCCAGGACATCTGCCAATGTCCTGAGACACTTTGGTCGTCACAGCTGGTGGGGGCAGGGAGCTGCTCCTGTAATCTTGTAGGTAGAAGCCAGTGATGCTGCCAAACATCCTACAATGCACAAGACAGCTCCCAACAATAAGGAGATATCTGGCCTCAAATGTTGATGGTGCCAAAATTAAGAAACTCTTTTCTAGTCCCAAGGGCTGGCCCCAACACCCCAAGCTCTCATTCATCAAGCTTCTTTGGCTCTCTGCACCCACACCAGCCTAGCAGCTTTCCTGACATCCAGGAGCTGTAGAGGGACCCTGCTTCCTACATGAAGAGGAAGGCCCTTTCCAATACAATCACCATGCCATCCACACTTGGGGCTCCACCCACCTCTGGCATAGGGAAGGCACACGGTGTTATCATCTGTCCCTGACTTTACCCTTGCCACAATGAGAATCACCTTTGCTTCCATTGGAGGAGGCTGAAGTGTCTATTTTGTGTATGAACAGGGCTAACTGTGGACTCTGCAAAGGGCTCTCTCCTTAATTGCAAGGCAACATCAGAATTAAGACCTCCTCCACCTGAGTAGCAAAATTCCTGGGTGGGGAGGCAGATCAGCCCTTTGGTGATTCAGACAAGAGAGCAGAGCCAACAACTCAGAAGCTCCTTAGTGGCTAAATGAGGACCACCCCATCCTGACCTAGCCAGGGTGAGCAACAGCCACTGAAAAAGATGAAAGGAAAATTAAGTGTGGTCAAAGTCAAGGACATTGAGAAGTTTATGTGCTGCAGGTTCCAAAGTCATGCTGCAGTTACTGGTCAGGGAAGTCTTTATGGGGTAGGCTGGAGTTGGAGTCTGCCTTGAAGAATGGATACAGTTGGGATGAGTGGTGTTACCATGCAGGGAGATAACCCAAGGCATGATTCACAGATAGGATTGAATTGGTAGGTAAAGTCTAGATCTATTCTCAGGCTCTTGGAGCCAACAGGTGGAGCTCCATGGGTTGGCCTTCCTCACTTTTGTTCTGCTTGCCCCTCTCCACCCCTCTTCACCTCTGGAACCAGGTGGCAGCACCCCTCCGGGCATCACTGCACCAGCTGTGCCTAGCATCCCGTCCCCCATTGGGGTGAACGGCTTCACCGGCCTCCCCCCACAGGCCAACGGGCAACCTGCTGCGGAAGCTGTGTTTGCTAATGGCATCCACCCCTACCCAGGTAAGCATATCTGGTAGCCCTTCCTTCCCCGTGCCACAACATTCCTCATCCATTCTGTCTCTGCCTTTGGTGTTATAACAGGGAACATATGGCTCCTGCCCTCTTGCCTGTTCCATGGGAGAACCCCAAAATGTGATTAGAGAGAGCTAGCCTCCTACCCTCCTTCAGGGAGCCCCTGGTTGGGAAAATGAGATGAAATTCTCATTCTTGGAGAGGTGCCCATCTGAGGGTGAGAAAGAAGCCCATTCCTGGAGCTCTGTCAGGAAAGAGAAGAGAATAGATACAGTTGTACAACCAGGTAGAGAGGCTAGTAACTGCAAATTAATTAAGAGTGAATTTGACCTATAGGAAGTGAGGAGGTAGATGCTAAAAAAGATAATCGTACTGAGTTAAGTAAGAAAAAATTCTTGTAGGAAGGAAGCAAAGGCATATACATTGGCAGTCTGGCCGGTGTGTACCAATTGGGTCCCTGGATCCATACAAAACCACGGTCAGCACTTCGGACAGTGTATCAGAACCTTGGCTAGCACCCGAGGGCTTCTTGCATAAATTCTGGCACAGGAGATCCAGGAAGCCTGTTCTTGAATTAACTTTGTTTCTCTCAAACTTAGCATTACCCTTGTGGCAAGAGTGCCCAGTTGACTTGAAACAGCTGCTCTCTCTGGGTTTCAGGAGCGACTGACATTAGAAAAGCTGGAGCTAAAGCCTGAGAGTAGACTGGCAAGGGGCAAAGTGACAGAGATGTGAAGAGTGCTGTCCTCCTTCCCGGAGGGCAGATGATTAGGTTACAGAGTCCCTATAAGTACTAATAGGTGCCCAGCCTGTGCTAGATGAAAGGGGGGGGGGTGCCCGGAAGGAGATTGGGACATGGACCTATCCCCTGGGTGGTCAGCATCAGTCAGGAATACAACATACATTGACAGCGTAATGAGATAATAAAGCAGAACAGAGTGTCATCAAGAGTGAATGTTCTCTGCCTGAGGTGCTGAAGGATTCAAATGAAGGGAGCATTCTGTAGGGTGAGGAAGCCCAACAGAGCTTTCTGAGGAGGAGACCCAGATCAACTCTATCAGGCAGGTAGGAATTAGAGAGGTGAGGAAGAACAAGGAGCACACTCCTGTGGAGGGGGCTGTCCTGCGGGCCCAGGGTCTGGTGAGGAGGTTGCCCCAGCTGGGTCAGAGGTGGTCAGCTTGGGGGCAAAGTAGTGCTCTCTACTCTGGTTGCTCATCGGAATCCTCTGTGTCACTTCGTAAAATCACAGAAGCCCAGAGATTCTGAGTTCAGTGTTTGGAGTGAGGCCCAGACATCTGTAGAATATGAAAGTTCCACCAGCAGCCGAGTGCAAGGTCACTGTGCTAGCAAGAAATAGAGGGAAATTTCTTGACTTTGCCCTTGTTGTTGTCTCTGATCTGATCCTGGCACTCACTCCACACCTCTCCTCTCGCTGCCTAGAGAAGAGGCCAGAGAGGCTCGGAGGGAAGTGGCAGGGCCACAGGATCTGGAATGTCGTTGAAGGATGAAGACTCCAGGCTGGCCAGGGAGGCAGGGAGGGGCTTGGCAGGCCAGGAGGTGGGAGAGACCCCACCAATCTCCTGGTTCTTGGGCTCCTCCCTGCTCAGGCTCCTGGGCTGGGAGATACAGTCCCCAGCACATCTGGGTGGTTTCATTTCTGCCCTCCTCCCTGCCTGCAAGCCCATCTGGATCTCTGGATTTTGACAAACCTGTTTCTTCCCCACCCCCAACTGGCATGTGTGAGCTGTCTCCCTCATGGAATTTGGAAATGTTCCTCTTCCCCATTTGTAACAATCTGCCACATCCCATAAACAATTCCCTGACAGAGCAGGAGGGAGGGATGGAGGGAAGGAAAGGAGAAAAGTAGTACATTAAAAAAATTAATTTACCATCTTTAAATGCAGAGTTTGGAGCTGCTGTAATGAGCGAGATCCTTCAAAGTGTTCACTCTTTGGCAGTTACTAATGAGGTCATTAAGCAGAGAAGTAGAGAGGGGTCTCAGAAACGCTTTTCTCCACTTCCTACCCCTGGGTAGCTTCTCTATTCTCTCCTCTCACTCATGGAGATCATGTCTGAAGCACACAGTGTGACCTTTCCTGCCACGTAACACCCCTGAAGGGGCGGCTCTCACAAATGTTAAGGACCATTGGCTCCTTACATGGCAGTATTTGCAGAGCACTTGCTGTGGTCCTGACGCTGTGCCCGGGGAACTGCCCTTTGTTGTGCAGGTTATATTTTGCATAGGCCATCACACTGGCCACAGGAAAAGACACCTTTTTCTAATTTGCATAAAGGTGCTTTGTGTTCGAGCAGCTGGGAGGACCAAAGGGACAAAGCTAGCCGTGGCTATCCACAGAGTTGGGGCCGGTAGAGGAGTCAGGCACAGGGAGCAGGGGAGGAGAAGACCAGCCCAGCAAGCACATCATCATCATCCCTTGACCGCTGAGAGCTCCTGGCTCCAGTCTCTGCTGTGAGGGACACAGAGGGATAGGGTTTTGTCCCGGGACAACCCCAGGCAGGAGGGGACTTGCGTCCTGACCCATTGTCAGCTCCCCACTCTGAGCAGTGCCCTCCTGGGCTCAGCTTCCCCACTGCCATCCATGCTGTCTCCAAGGACTCCTGCCCCAGGATCTTCCCTTGGCTTCGCTGAAGCTCAGATGCTATTGTTCTAGCAGAATGTTACTCGGAGTTTGAGGGACAGGAGCTCAGAAAGGAAGTTTGGGAAGTCTTCCAGGTCTGGGGGCCCCAGAGCCTAGCACTGCCAGTTAGCTTGGCTGGCCTGGGTTGCCAGGCAGATAGGGCCACATAATTTTCCGTCTGCCTTGCTGTGTTATTCAGTCTGCTTCAAACACACCGAGGCTGGATGTGTCACCTCCCCAGGGCCAGCCCCCTCCTACCTCAGTCATCAGTGGCCTTCATCACCAAAGGTAGTGCCCACATTCGCCAGGCTTTTCCCCACAGCCCTGTGGACACAGCAGAGGCCACGGATATGAGCCAAGCCTTTTCCCTGGTCCAGCTTCTCCAGGTTCCTTGCCCAGAGTTTCAGCCTAAGGCTCCTCTCCTCCCACTGAATGGAGGACATCCCAGACTCATGACATCGGGTAGGAGAAAGGTCCTCAGTCATGTGGCTCTTCTGTTTCTGCGGGCGCTCCTCCTTTCCCAGCCCATGGGACAGATCTTATATGTGTGGTTAGGCCCCGCTTCTCAGCAGGTGTCCCAGGTGTGGCCTTGGAGTGCAAGGCCTCCATGCCTTGTGCAAACTCCCTATGGATCCTGGAGAGGTGCCCGTGTTTGAGCAGGCATGGGTGGCCCAGGAGGACACAGTGGCAGGATGAAGCCTCCCGGGCCCTTGATTTTAGCCAGCTGGGATCTGCCCATGCCTCATGCTGGGAATACCTGAGGAGGATACCACCTCCCTGGTAGCCTCTAGCCCCCTTGCTCACTTTCTTTTCCCTCAGCCCTTCTCAGCACCAGGTCACGGGAGTATCTTCCCACCAAGCCCTTCGTGGTGGAGCCCTCCTCTGCATCTCCTTGTCAGCCCTTCCCAGCCTTCTGCATGATCCACCCCCTGCCCAGGGCTGCAGCCCCAGTCAGGGTGGGGGCAGGTAGACGCCACAGTGGCTGGGAGGAGCCATGCGGCCCCAGCATCACCTTGTGGGCATGGCTGGAGTGAGGCTGGTCTGGGTGGGCACTGCTGACTTCTGCTTCCTTGGCTCCCCTGCAGCGCAGAGCCCCACCGCGGCGGACCCCCTGCAGCAGGCCTACGCTGGAGTGCAGCAGTACGCAGGTCGTTAGTATCCTCACATCCCCAGTCCTCATGCCCGGGTACCAGTGTCCCCTTCCCACCCCAGGCCTGGGCCCCAAGCTGGCAGGGAGGGGCAGGGGAGGACAAGGCGGGAGGGCTTTACTGGGAGAGTACTCCTCCTCCGACACACACAGGCAGCAGGAGTGGGGCTCCAGCAAGGTGACAGGGAATAAGGGAGGAGAGGCAGCCAGAGGCAGAGAAAGAATTGAGAAGAGATAGCCTTGGGGTGAGCAGGTGAGCCAATGAAGGGAGCCCAAGGCATGCTGTCAGCCACGATTCCCTGTTTCTCTCACACACACCATAATCTCATCCCTGCTGGGCCAGTCTCAGAAAGAGCCAGAGAGATCTCCCATGAGGGCAATGTGGGGGTTTCAGTGAAGTTGGCTTCTCACATCTGGAGCTCAGGGGAAGCTCTCTCACCTGCTGGGACCCCTGAGCTCTGACCTCAGATCCTGCACCTTTGGGAACCAGGCCAGGCTGAGGAAGGGGCTGGCTATTCCTGTGTCACCTCTGACCCTCTCCCGATTGAGTGTAGAAAGCACTAGGTTTGTCCCACTTAGTGCTGTGCCCCTGGGGCCCTCCCCTGGCAGGATCCCTGAGGCCAGGCTCACACCTCTGGTGGCGCCCCACCTCCCACATAGGTGCCATTGGAGTGGGCGGAGGGTGTATGTGCCAGCTTCAGCAGGGGCTCAGAGCACGGGGCTTCCAGATAGAGTGGGTGATCTGGTCTGGGCATTCCAGTGTTTTTGATGATCCGTTACTGTGGATTAGCTATGCAGGTGGGTTGTCCATTGTTTCAGAATAAACTTGCCCCTTCCCAACTTGCGCGCGCGTGCACACACACACACACATACTGAGCTGGCTTTATCTTAAGTGGCTAAGCTAAAATGCTATTTTGGCTGGTCTGCTTTTACTGCTCAACACTGAAGTTTCTCTCTTTCTCCCTGCCTCTCCCTTTGTCTCTCTCCGTGTCACTGTCGCTGTCTCTCCCTCTTGCCTCTTTTCTTTGGCCCTCCAGCAGCCGCCTACCCTGCTGCCTATGGTCAGATAAGCCAGGCCTTTCCTCAGCCACCTCCAATGATCCCCCAGCAACAGAGAGAAGGTGAGTCTTTGAGCTGGGGCTTCCTCCCCACCCCCTTCTGTCCCCAAAGAGGCTGGTCACTTGGGCCTCTGGCTGGGGTGTTTCTTTTAAAAGGTGACCATGTTTGTGTGTTGTGTGGAGCAGGGTGAGGGAAGACAGCGGGATTGCGAGATGTGGCACTCTCTAATCCAAGCATGGAGGTGGGCTTCTCAGGGGCAGCAGCTCCATAAGCCCAAGTGGTAGGAGGTCAGGAAGGTAGAATCTTGGGAGAGGTGGGGTCCAAGAATCCCCCCTCCTCTAATGGGCGGGATTTGGCCAGTGGAGAGGAAGGGAAGGAGTAGGAATGCTCCAGGTGGGGCAGGAGTAGGGAGATCTGTTCATCACGGGCAGGAGAACTTGGATCCTCTGGGTGACCAGGAGAGACAGCTGGAGCTCCTGGGCTGGGACTCCATGGCCAGGTGAAGAGGTGGGAGTGCCTCAGTGCAGCCTGAGTGGAAGAAGAGGTTCTTGGGATTCTTGGGAGATCACATCCAGAGGTCCTCGTGTGCACAGGGCACAGGGCAGGCCAGGCAAGGCCAGTGGGGTTTGGGAGGCTGGGATCTAATAAAGACCAGCAGTGTCCTCCCATTCCAGAGCCTCGAGCCCCACAGGAGGCTGGAGAAATAAGGTCACCCTCAGGGCTTCCGTGAGCCTGCACACAGAGAGCTCCGTGTGAGAAGCAGGAATACTAACCACGTTTTGCTTTCCCTGTCCCACGACAAAAGTCACCCTGCCAATTAGACCACCGCCTCTGCCCCAGGAGCCCACTTGGCCAGGGGATCCTAGTGGTTTTCAGCTAACCACCTCATAGTCCCTGCAGCAGACGAGAACATGTAGGTCAGCTCTGGAAAGGACCCCAGGATTCTGTGAGTCCAAATTCTTTGGTCAGATCGGCCCCACACAGTCCCCAGATGGCTGAGAGCCTGGGCTTTGAAGCAAATCCGTCTGGGTCTGACTCCAGCATGGCACCTCCCCATCCTTGCCCTTGACGTCCTCACCTGTAGAATGAGGGTAGTGAGGATTGGTTGTTGGCGAGCATGAAGCTCTAAGGAGCTCAGGTCTGACTGGGACTCCAGCAATTTCTTATGGATTTCACGGTGTGCATACAGCCCTTCCTTCACCAAACTGTCCCCCTCCAAAGTTGCCCATGATGCCCACCACCCCAGTTTACACATAGTGGGCAGCTTCTGAGATCCAAATCATCATCTCTTCCTGCCCAGGAGAGCCACGTCAGAGGAGTGTGTGGCAGGCCATGCCCGCTGCCTGGAAGCACAGCCCTCTCTAGCTCTCGGTGACACCCAGGCCCCCTGCTGCTGAAGCGGCCTGGGGATTGGTCCAGACGCCCTGTCTCTACCAGAGGGTCTCCTCTTTGGGCTTTGGCCCTCCAGCCTGCTCTGCCCCTACCCCTCTTCCCCTTAGTCCAGCTCTTCTAGTGCCACATCAGTCAGATCAGAGCAGTCAGATCAGAGCTGCAAGGGGTGGCGTCAAGAGCCCCAGGGTTGCCCATCCCTCCCAGGCCCAGAACAGAGCACTGTGCCCTCAGGCGCTATTGCCTTTACCACCCCACTGGCCTCAGGCTACCCCCCCCCCCCCAGTCAGCCTGCAGTCAGCCTGCAGTCAGCATGCTGCATCACTCTGGCCTGTGGGCTTAGAGGTCTCTAAACCCTGCTACACACACACACACACACACACACACACACACACACAGCTGCAGGTCAGTGCTGCTCTGACCAACACAGGATAGTCCCTAGCACTGGCCTTGAACAGAGTGAGGCCCTCCATCTGACCCCTGCTCCTCCCCCCTTACACTCTGCTCCACCCCATTTATGTCACTCTGAACTTCTTATACCTTCCTTCCATCTCTGCGTGGTTTCTGCCCCTGCCCCTGTGCCCTGCTCCCCAGGTCCCTCTCCAGTCACCTCTTAGATGTGGGATCTCCCACTGTTGTCCACGCTCTCCCTGTCTGGAGCCCAGGATGAGGCACCATGAGAGAGCAGGGCATGAGGAGGGCTGAATCAGGGACCCAGATGTGTACAGAGCCAGGCTTCATACAAGGGTGAGCTCAGGGTGCTAGGAACAGGGTTGTCAGAGAAGGTTTCGAGGGCCTGGGAGGATGAGATCTTTAGCACACAGAGATGAGATGGGGAGACAAGCAGTCAAGGCAGGGAGGACAGGAGCAAAGGTGTGGGGGCTGCGAAGTATGAGGTGAGCTGGGGCCTGGGGATGGGATGGGGAGGGGAGACAGGCTAGGGTGGGATGGAGTCAGCCCAAAGCCATGTCTATAGTATTGCATGAAGCATAGGTGAGAAAGAAGGCTGTGTTATTCCAGCCATGCCAGTGGTTGGCCCTTTCTATCATGGTTATCTCCCCAATGTGTAATGTCATTGATATACCTGGACACTCGGGTTCCTGGAGAGACCCTCCTTCCAGAACTTTGTCTTTGAGCTGAGCCTGGAAACCAAGAGGCGCCAGGAGGCTCCACAGATGGGCCTCAGGGGTGCTCTAGTCCTGGCTCCACCTAGGCCTGCAGTATGGTCAGGGTAGCCACCTTCTGTCTCTGGAGCTCTGTTTCACCATTTCTCAGAAGGCTGGGTGGGACCAGATTGATCTCCAAAGTCCTTGATGCCATCTATCTGGATGCTCTATGATCTGTGGATGAGGAAATGCAGGGAGGACTTGGGAGTACAAGGCAATGTGTAGGCTCCCTGTTGAGGGGTGGAGGATGGGGGTGCTAGGCTGGAGCCAGGAGAGCTGGTCCTGTGAAGCTCAGCTGCATACCATACTGATGAGATGAGCCTATGGGTCTTGCCCTCAAAGGCTTCTGGAACCTTTAAGTTGAATAAACATAATATCCACTTAAAGCAGTATGCAGAACTTGAAGCAAGGGTCCCAAGTTCAAGGCAGGTGGCTGTGTGGGGTGGAACAGTGAGGGAAGACCTTACGGATGAGCTGGAAGGAGGAAGGAAGGCAGTGCTGGGGGACAAGAGAAGGCAAATGCCCCTGTCCCTAGATCTCCCAATGTGGCTAGAGAGGAAACCTCCCAGACCTAAAGGAGAAAGAGCCCCAGACCACAAATTGTAGACTTAAGGAACTCGGAAGAGAGAGGTTGGGGAGTATCTGGGTGGGAGTCCTGGAGGAGGTGTGGCTTAGATTAGGCCTTTGAGCTGGTTCCTGCCCCATGGGGACTCACATCTAGCTGGGGACCATCAAGGGACACATTCACAGAGTATGAACCAGTGAGTACCTGGCATGGTTGGAAATGGGGTGAGGGGAGGGCACCCCAGTGCTTGGGGGGTTCCACAGCGGAGATCCCAGGAAGTGGGAGGGAGCACTCTTGCGCCGGTTCTGAATGCGCCGCCAGCTGGCAGTTTGCCTGGGAGACCGTGGTGCAGGGAGGGGAGGCTGAGGGTGAGAGGAGGGCCGGTAGAAGGTTCGGGGTGGGGACCTGGGACCCAGGAGGTCAGATGCTCAGAGGGTGGCTTTGGTGGTCAGAGGAGGGAGCCAGGAGGAGAGTGAGGGTCGAGAGATTTGCTCCCCAAGGGGGTTACCTGCAGCTTCACCTGCCCCAGGGAAGCACCACACGGTTCTGGCCCTCATGAAAGGCACGGAGCTGCCCACCTCTTACTACCTTCACTTCTGAGCTCACGCTTAGCTGCTGCCAGCCTCTGGTCAGAACCTTGGTTCTTGGACATCTTTAACAAATGCAGCGGCCTCCTTTGCGTGGCCTCCACAGGTTGGAAACAATCATTGGAACAACCACATTTTAAAAGGTTAAAAATACGTAGCGTGCTCTGTTTAAGATGGCAAGAAATAGATGAATCATTTTGGAAAGATTTCTATTTCAAAGTGGAAATGGAGCATTTTGGTCATTTAAAAAGAAAAAATGTAACTCGTTAGCCATCTGGAAATTTCAGAAATCCAAAGGCCTGAACGGTGTTCAGTGTTTCTGGGGCATGGAGACTTATGAGAAGTAGAGAGAGGAGAGCACAGACTACAAAGGCAGATGGTCTGGGTCCGTTTCCTGGCTCCACCCACCCCCAGCTGTGTGACTTCTGGCGGGTGACTTAACCTCTCTGGGCCACCATTGCCTCATTTGTTTAGTGGGAGTGACAATAGCACTTGCCTCAGAGCGCTGCAGGAAGACTAAGCAACTTAACATACACACGGAGGGCTTAGAGGAGCCTGGCCTGTAGTTCCTGCTATGGAAGGGGCAGGGTGGTTATCCTGGTGGGGGGGCGGGAGTGGGGAGCTCCACGTAAGGAGGCATGTGGGTACCCAGGCTGATGGCCCAGCCAGCCGGGAAGCCCCTCCTGTGCACCTGGCCTGCTGGAGGAGGCAGAGCAAGTCTGGATTTCTGCACTCAGGTCAGGGGCTGAGTGTGAGGTTTGGGGTGGGGAAGGTGGGCCCGCGGGCAGCAATGGGAAGGAGCAGCTGCGGGCTGTGGAGAAAGATGGGCCAGAGCGGCGGCCACCGAGCTCAGGGCTGAGGCCTGGCCGCCGAGGTCAGAAGTGAATGAGGCCTCTCACCTGGCTGCCTCCACCAGCCTGGCTGCCCCGGGGCGGCTCCAGAGCAGGGGCTGGGCCCAGGCGGCTGGGCCCTCCCAGGCCTCCCTCTCCTCAGCACCCCTCTCCCCCGCTGATCGGGCCTTGGCACATTTACCCCCTTCCCTCGTTAACTGGGCCCCTGGAGCCAGGCGCCAGGCGCCCTGTGACAGATTCATTTCGCAGCGAAGGTGATGGAGGCACAGAGAGGCTCAGTGACTTGCCCAAGGGCAGGGCGGAGACCAGAGCTCTGACTGGGGCTCAGCAGTTCCCACTCTTCAGTGGCTGCCCTTGGATCTTGGATGAGACCCCCCCTCCCAACCTTGCCCCCCTCCCTGCTGCCGCTGCCTAACTCGCTCACCTCTCCTCTGTCTCTCTCTCCCCACCCCACCCTGCCATCCCTCCTCCCTGCCCCTCCCCCCACCGCAGGGCCCGAGGGCTGTAACCTGTTCATCTACCATCTGCCCCAGGAGTTTGGGGACGCTGAGCTGATGCAGATGTTCCTCCCTTTCGGTAATGTCATCTCCTCGAAAGTGTTTGTGGATCGGGCGACTAACCAAAGTAAATGCTTTGGTGGGTAAAGATAACAAACCAACTAGCTTCACCCAGGACAGGGCGGTGCTAGCACCAATTTACCGGTGTCCGACTGCTTTTAACCTGCTCCTTCACATCGCCCCCACCCCAGGTGCTCCCTAAGGCCCAGCCCCCAGCCTCCATCTCCCACCCTTCCTCTCTCTGCTACTGTTCTTTTGGCTTCTTGGCTTTCCCTGCCCACTCCTGCCCCTCCACCCTGCTAGCTCCCCAAGTCCCCTATAGGTTCCTCCCCGCCCCCAGCCCTCCACTAGGACCAGTTTCCACCCACCTAGAAGGGGAAGGAGTCACCTTGGGCCAGGGTGTGTGTGTGTGTGGGGGGGGTCATCAAGCAGAGTCCATTCTCTGAGCATCCCCTCCTCTTACAGTCATAGAGACCCTGGTGGACATTGAGCATGCTCCCTGGGGTGGGGGTCTGTCCAGCTGAGGCCCCTGTCCTGCCTGCCCCTTGGCCTCCTCCACCTCTCCATCCTGCCCCTGCCGCCCTTCTCTGTCTACCCTGCTCTTTGCTCCCCTCCTGCCATCCACTGAACCCTCCTTCCCCCACCACTCCCTCAGGCCACCAGAGCCACATTGCTGAGGAGTCAGGAAGAGCAAACTGGTCCTGCCCTCAGGAAGCCTCAGGTCTGAGCTTAGCTGAAAATCATGCCTACTCCGCAGCACTGAAGTCTGCAAGGCACCAAGTAATGGAGCAAAGAGAAAGGCAGGTGGATGGAAATAGATGTGAGGAAGGGGAGGGAGTTCCGTCCGCGAGGGAGAACAGAATGGGTGCCCAAGCAGAGCTGCGGGGAAGGACAGTGAATGAGGAAGCGGCAGGAGGCTTTGGGAGAAGGGAGAAGGGGAGGCTGGCAGTGAGGGAGGGGCTGTGTTGGGGAGGGTTGACCGGTCAGAAGAGGATGCTGCTTCTGGGATGGAGGCAGTAGGAGATGATGGGAGGTCCTTGACCTGAGACTAATAGGATGAAAATACAGCTTTTAGGAAATGTGCATGGTGGCAGGATGCTAGATGGGACAGAGGACTTGGGAGGATCTAGTAGTATGCTTGTCAGATAAAATACAGGGTGCCCAGTGAAATTGGAATTGCTGATAAACAATGGATGCATTTTTTGTAAGTATGTCCCAGACAGTATATGCACTATGTTCCATGCAATATTAGGGATATGCTAACAGTAAACAAATATTCATTGTATATCTGAAATTTGAATTCAATCAGGCATCCTGTGTTTGGATTTGCTTTAGACCTCCTGGAATCCCACCTCATTCTCACACCTCTCCCCACCACTCCTTATTCCCTTTCCTCTTCCACCTCCATCGGTCCTTGCCCTGAGGTTAGATCCACTCATGAGTCCCCAAGGAATGAGGAGTCCAGTCCCCAGAGAGCCAACATGGAACCAGAGCTGTCTGAGAAGCTTAGATCTCCATGTTGAACCCCAGATTCTGGGCCTGGAAGGGGAGAATAGGGGCCTGTTTGCCTGGGGAACCCCGGTCACAGCTTGGGATGCGGGAGGGGAGACTGCACAGGTGTGTAACAACATTAGCAACACATGTTAGGGAGATTGCGGTTTGGAGACCAACTTGGCAGAGCCGTGAACAGCTTGAGGTTTTAGAGCATGTTCCCCAAAGCAGTCAAGATCTTGGTACCTTTGTCCCCTTCCCTCTGGCAGCTGCCACAGGATATGTGGGGTTCTTGGAGGGCATAGAGTTATCCTGGCAGTTCCTTTCTCTTTGGGTTTGAGACAACAGGGCAAAAGAAAAAGACAGGATCATACCCCCCCCCCCATTTGACTAGTATTTCTGCTGACAAATTACAATTACAGATGTAAGAACAATAAACTGGACATCATCGCAATTGCTCTTTAAATAAGCCTCAGATGTCACATACGTCAGAAGACACTGCTAAGAGCCCACGAAGTGCTGAGCACCGGGGCAGCAGGCTTAGTCTCTGGACACATCCCCAGAGCATTTGTGCTGCCCTGATGAGAACACAGCCCATTTTTTCAAAGGCATTTACTTGGAATCTGCCCCAGACGTTGCCCTCGCCATTTGCCTATTTAAATTCTCCAGAACCAAAGTTTTTTCCCTGCTTTTTCTGAAAATCATCCTCTGTATACCTCTACTCTGGATCTTTCCTCTGTTCCTGAACAGACTTCTAGCCTAAACATCCACTGGCCTTAGAGAAGGATGGGCTCCTGCCAGGCCAGCCTTGCCTGGTGCTTCCTCCTTAAGCCCCTTGGGTTCATTCTTCCATGCTTTGGCCAAACCCCAGGGCTCATTCCTAGGCAGAGCATTTGTTTATTTTTTAAAAAATATTTTGTTTATTTATTTGAGAGAGAGAGAGAGAGAGAGAGAGAGAGAGAGATAGTGAGAGAGAGCATGAGCAAGGTGGGGGAGGGGGAAGCAGACTCCACATTGAGCAGGAGCTGGACATGGGGCTCAATCTCAGAACCCTAGGATCATGACTCTGAGCTGAAGGCAGACACTTAACCGACTGAGCCACCCAGGCGCCCCCAGGCAGGGCATTTCAATCTGAGCCTCAGTGTCCTCATTTGTGAAATGAGGATGTTGGTGGTCATTTCTCAGGGGCACTCTGAGGGTTACTGGAGGTGGTGTGTGTGAGGGGCTTTCCCAGAGCAGACCCTCAGGAGGTGCTAGAGCCCCATTTATTCCCCAAAGGGGGGATTGTCTTTGAGTAAATGTGGTTCCATGTTCAAGTGAGTCCCTCAAAGACCCCACTTGTCTTTATAAGCATAAACAGAATCATCCACATTTGAGCTGATGTGCAGCATAAATGGTTGCTATGTTGTAAGAAGGGCTGGGGGGACACCAGGAGGGCATCCATCCTCTGCACTCAGCTTCCCACAGTCTGAGAAGCAGGAGTCTTCTCAGGGCTGGGAGGGATGGGGCAGGAGGTTCTGGGAGGAGGAACACAGTCTTGGAAACCAGAAAAATGGGAGATGGTGTCCAGAGCCCTGTCCAGTGGCCCTGACTACTCACCAGTTACCAAAACTAGTTGAGGAAGAAAAGTTCCCTTGAGCCCGGAACCCTTCCCAACCTCTGAGCTTCCAGAGACTTTAACCTCTCCTAGGAAGGCTGGGCTTCTTCCCTCCAGGACCTCTTGTCTTCCACTCTCCCCACTGACTGGCTGTCCCTCCCTGTACCCCTCTGCCCTAGATAGCACCTCCAGCCTCTTTATCTTTCTCCCCAACTCCTCCCTGCTTTGCTCTCACACTTGTTTCCTGCAAAACGGTGCCACGGAGGGCAGGGGGCAGGTGGCGAGGTAGAGTCCGAGAGAGAGGGTTGTCACCTTCAGTTGGCTATCTGGTCCCAGCGGGGAGAGAAGCTTTAGTTCCACCACCCCTCCCAAATCTGGAGGAGAGCAAGCTGTGTAACAGACTTAAATGAGTTCACACGTGTGAAAACTGTTCTGCTCTGCTAAGACTTGACTGCAGTCATCAGGCATAGAGGTCGATGGGGTGGGGGATTGGCCAGGGGGGTGATTGTGCTGATCTCTGACTATGGACGATCCGGAATCTCTCCTGTTTTGGCATATGGACTTGTACAGATGTCGGTTATGTTTCTCTGGGCCTGACTCACCAATTCCATCTGAGCTCATGTGCACCCATTCTTGAGTACACTCATTGCATGTGTGCGCGCGCATACACACACACACACACACACACGTCTCTGGCGGCTCACGGCTGCAAGAGCAAGAGCAGGTGTGAGCAAATGTAAGCAAAAGCAGGAAGGAGTCAAGAGAAAGGGGAAAGAGTCCAGCGGAGGTGGTGTCTAGGGCAGAGGTAAAAAGAGTCACCGCATGGGGAGGGTGAGGGAAGGAGGGGTTGAGGACAGGCCCAATGTACCATGGACAGTTAGCCAAGGAAACAGCTCCTGCTTCAGTGGGGGTCTGCACATCTATCACTTATATACCCAGAGGCCATTTGGGGACAAGCACCCTAAATGAGACATGTTTGCAGAATGGCCTGGGAACCTCGCCAAACTTAGTTTCATATATTTCGCAGGATCTAAGTCCATTTTACAGGAGAAAGGGCCTCTAAAGTAAAATAAATTCCAGGAAATACTAGGCAAACAAAGCTATAAAGGTTTATTTACTGGAGAACCTGGGGTGGGAGGTGTGTGTGTGGGGTTATTTGTTAATGTGCCTTGAACTGTCCCAGAGGGGCATGGCGGTAAGCTTACTTGACCACAGAAGCCCCTTTCTCAGGAGGACCGTTAGGGCCAGTTTAGGAAATGCTGATGTAAAATGTAGTGTTTATCTCTAAGGAGATGCATTCAGAGTCCCCAAAGGGTGGCTTCTAAACTGACTTTCAGAGCCTTACCCATCCCCAACTGGGAACTGCTTGTTTCAGATACCTGACTGGGAGCCATAGATGTTTCTGTATCTGATTCTGGGATGTCGGGAGGAGTGACCCCGCGGAAAGCACTTCTGCAGTGCCTGGTCCACGGAGAAGGCTCTCCGCTAACTTATTACTAACAGTGCTCATTTCTACTAGTATTGTTATCATAGATACCACGAGGGGTTCACGGGGGGATGCATCGGTTGGTGGTGCCTAGAATCCAGGGCGAGAGCGCCTGCTCCCAGGGCTTGGAATTTCATTAAATAAAAGGGAGGTGCCCACAGCCCTTGGGCGCAGATGTAGGCAGGTGTCGGCCAGGAGCCTGGCTGGGGGCGGCCGCGCCCAGCCCCGGGAGGGGGGAGGCCCGCGAGGACGGTCAGCCCCGGCCCTGCCCCGCGGCCAGGCGGCCCTCGCGGGGGGGGGGGGCTGGAAACGGCGGTGGAGAGGCTTTCTCGGGGTGCCCCCTCCCTCCCCCTCGCACTCCTCTCTCTCCCCAGGCCGGCACCCTGTGCCCTCCCGCTGCCAGGCCCCCTCCTGTCAGGGAGGACAGTGTCCAATAAACTCCTCCACCCGCAGGTGTGTCCGCCCTCCCGCCGAGGGAGAGGGCCGAGGTGCCGGGGCCGGCCGGGGTGGGGGGCGAGGACGCCCCGGAGAGTGGCGCCCCCAAAGCCGCGGTGGAGCCGCGAGGCCCACCCCGGGAGGGGCCGCGCGCGCCCGCGGCTGGGGGGGCGAGGCCGGGCCGGGCGGGGCCCCGGGGAGCAGCCTCGAGGCCCCCTCGGCCGAGGGGCGGCGGGGGCGCGGGGAGGGGCCGCCGCCAGCCCCGCCCCCGCCCCGCCCGCCCCGGGCCGCGGGCCCCGCCCCGCCCGCCCGGGCCCCGCCCCCGCCCCGCCCCCGCCCCCGCCCCCGCCGCCGCTGCCCGCCGGGGCGGCCCCGTGGAAACCCAGGCCCTCGTCCCTCGTGTCTCGCCAGGCTTCGTGAGCTTCGACAACCCGGCCAGCGCGCAGACCGCCATCCAGGCCATGAACGGCTTCCAGATCGGCATGAAGAGGCTCAAGGTGCAGCTGAAGCGGCCCAAAGACGCCAATCGCCCCTACTGAGCGCCGGCGGGAGCGTCCCCCGGGGGAGACCAGGACTCGCACAGGTGACCGCGGGCGGCCGGGGCGCGGGGCCGGGGCGCGGGGCCGGGCCGGGGCCGGGGCCGGGGAAGGGACAGCGCTCGGACCCGCCGCCGCCTCTGGCCTTCGTGAGCCGGACCCTCGCCTGCCTTGGACCCGCTGCGCCCAGCTCCCGCGGCGGCTCCCCGAGTGCCGGGGCCGGGCCCGGAGCTGCGGTCTACCGGCGCCAGTGGGCGTGGCCACCCCTGGAGCGGGAGGGGGGACCCCTCTGAGAAGGCGGGGCGAGCCCTGGGCTGTGCCTCCCGGCCTCCGCTGGCAAACCCTGCGGTGAGCCTGTGGCAAGCTCAGGGCTGGGAGACTTTGGGCGGGGGAGCTGTCCGTGTCTCCTGGGGCCTTCTCCTAGGCTCCTTGGCTCTCCCCTCCCCATCACTCCTGCCTTAAGGGCCGGTGGCCTTTGGACACTTGACCCCCTCACCCCTCCAATTCTCCGTAGCTCAGTCAGTCGGGCAGAAGCTGGGGAGGGTGACACCCTAGCAGTGGGGCCACTTACCTTGCCTGCTTTGCAGAGGCCGTGGCCAGTGGGCAGTTGTCATCCCTTCCTGCTCAGTCTGGGTCCTGCCCTGCCGCTGGAGACTCAGTTGGCTACTCTTCTCTCAGGCCACTTGTTCCCCTGGGTGAAGTGGCTTCCTGGGAAAGGGTGGGGGTAGAGTGAGATGTGCTAGGCCCTCCTGCAGCCTGGTATCCCACATTGCTGTGGACTCCTGTACCTGTCGGCCCAGCTTACCCACAGGCCAGAGGCAGGCCTCCCAGCCCTCTGCCCTGCCACCCCTCCACTGTTAGGTCCTTGGGACTCAGCACCAAATAAGGTCGACAAGAACCCTTGTCCTTGGAAGTGAAAGACAGACAATAAACAATGCCCATCTCTCAACCAAGGAGTAAATTACATAGCGTGTCAAATTGCTGGTTACAGTTAAATCAGGTAGTAACGATAGGCCTTGTTGAGAGAGTGACATTCAAGCAAAGACTTGAAGAAGGTGAGGCAGGGAGTCATGCCAGCATCTGGAGGAGTGAGTCTTTCATCTGAAGGAAAAGTCTGTGCAAAGGCTCCAAGGAGAGGGCAGGTGGTTTGTTTGAGAACAACAGAACCAAGTGGCTGGAGGGGAGCTAGCATGGGCGAGGAGATCCCAGAGGTGAGGAGAACCACCACCTCATGTGGTACCTACAGGCCATCGTATGGACTGTGGCTTCCCCTCTGAAATGAGGGGCGGTGGGTGTTGGGGAGCTGTTGGAGAGCTCTGAGTAGAAGAGTGGTGTGACCCACTTGCATTTCAGCGTGATTGATGGTTGCTGTGTTGATAGACTATAGGACCCCAAGCAGAAGTCTAGTGCATGGACCACTCAGTCCAGGCAACAGCAGACAATGTGATAGGAGGGAGTTGTGTTAACGTTTTTGGAAATCAGAGCCAAGGATGCCTTTTATAATGAATTGGAGGCGGGTGTGACAGGAGTCAAGGATGACACCCAGCTTTTGGCTGGAGTGACTGGAAGAGTAGAGTTGCCATGACCAGAGATGAAGAGGGGTCGGGGGGTTGGGGGGGAAGACTAGACGCAGCACATGAGAGTTAGACATTCACATGGAGGTTCAGAGTCTGGAGTTTGGGAGGGAGATCTCCCGTTTCCCAGTCTCCCCTCAAATCCTACCACTACCAGCAGAACACCCTCTGTCCACCCACACTCAAAAAGGGTGCTTGAGCCTCTAATCTCTGCAAGCCTGGAAAAGCTAAACCCACCCCTGAGTTCCCGCCCCTGCCCATCTTTGGCTCTTGTGAAGATGCCTACACAGATGTTCATTCAGAGTGTGGCACTTCTCAGCCCTGGGGACTTGTCTTGGTGCTGGCATGCAGAGATGGATAGGTCACCATCCTGCCAGCGCAAGCTTCTGGCTCTGCAGGAAGCAGCCTATGAGTGGGTGCAGTTCCATAGGAGTGGGGGGAGCAGTCAGTGAAAGTAGCCCTTTTTGAAGAGAGAGCACTTTCTTGTAGATAAACTTAGCTCTGCCACTAAGGCACGACCTCTTTGGCTTCCATGTCTACACTAATGAAACCGAAGTGTTGGAGTCATCAGAGGATTTTTAAGGAGGAGGGAGTGCTCCAGGGCCATGCCCTGAGATTCTGAGGGTCCCCTGGGGATGCGTTTTGTGCCTCCCAAGAAAGCAGCCTGTCTTAGCTTCCTAGACCTACATGCAACTAAAACCCAAGCAAGGATAGAACCTATAGGTCAGAGAAGTTCCCAGGGGAGGGGGTAAGTAAGACAGATTTGTTGCTTGGAACATAAAGTAAGACGTGGCCCACAGGGTAGAACCATCCATCAGTCCTAGTTGGAGTGAGGGCTTGAGAGGAGCAGAGGGGTGCTTACCATACGTGAGGCCAAGTTCTTACAGGTTGCAAGTGTAAGGCATAACTGTCTAATTGGGGACAGTTTTTATTACCATTTTAGAGATGAGCACAAAAGATTAAGTTACTCACTATCAGCTACTGAGTGGTAGAGCTATGATTTGAAGCTGGAGCCTAGTTCCAGAAGCTGTGCTCCTAAATGCCTTTAAGTAAGGAGAATGACACCCCCTCCCCAATTATCCTCACCCCAGCCCTCACACCCCAGAGTCTTGTCCTAAATATCTGAGGGAACATGTCATGATATCTCACTTCTCTGGGTTCCTCCCTACTAAACAGTTCTCTAAAACACTATGATGTAACATAACTCCTACAAATAAAGTTGACCTTTAATCCATTTAGATGGCATCTTAACAAACAGTGATTTCAGGCTTTCCAACCTAAGACTTTAGAGGCTGTAGCAGAAGGAGATGCTGAGACAAAGCACAGGCTTGGGGACTGCAGTGAGAAGTGGAGGAAACAGCAAGCAAAAGCAGCTAAAAAACTCACGATTTTGCAGGCCAGTAAAGGGTGTTTGCAAATGATGAGTCCTGGGTGCTTAAAAGGGCAAGGATAGCTGATAGGGGTGGAGGGACAAGCCATAGCTAGGAGCAAAGTGGTGACTGGGCGGAGAGATCTCAGGGCCCCGCTGGCCACCCACAATGCTGAAGGCAGTTCACAGCTGGGGGCCAGAGCCTGGTCTGAACAGAAGTGTGGCAGGGGGGATCCCTGGGAAGCTCAGCAGTTTAGCGCCTGCCTTCCGCCCAGGGCGTGATCCTGGAGCCCTTGGATCGAGTTCCACGTCGGGCTCCCTGCTTGGAGCCTGCTTCTCCCTCTGCCTGTGTCTCTGCCTCTCTGTGTGTGTGTCTCTCATGAATAAATAAATAAAATCTTGAAGAAGAAGAAGAAGAAGAAGAAGAAGAAGAAGAAGAAAGAAGGAGGAGGAGGAGGAGGAGGAGGAGGAGGAGGAGGAGGAGGAGGAGGAGAAGAGTGGCAGGGCTAGGGGAGGAGGGGGCCCCAGCAGGGCAGCTGTGGGGAGTGTGGTTGGGTGTTGCGGTTCCATAATGTAAGGCCTGGGTGGCGTAGGGTGGGGTCAGGTTGGGTCTCCAAACCCTGATGTCTTCTGAGAGTGTGATTCCCCACACACTCCTGGCTTCCTTGCTACCCCTGCCCCTCTGGCTGCTTGGGCTTGTTATCTTCTACTAAGGTGCGGGTTTCTCCAAGAAATCTCTATCAGGAAAGTAAGAGGGAGGAAGAAAAGGTAGGAAGACTGGACAAAAATGGGGACATGCCAGTCCATAGCCAGTGAGCAGAATACCCAAGTCCCTTGTTCTGCCACAGAGATCAGTATCACGCTCTGGTCCCCAAGCTGAGGGCAGGTTCACAGGCTCCTGCCACTGTGGTTCTGTGTTTGGAGGACACTGAGCAGCGTGTCTGAATTCAGTAGGAGTTGTGGGCCCTGGGTTGTGGCTCTGAGTGTGCTTTTGCACAGCATCTGCTCTGAGCCGTGCAGGTACAGGTGCTGTGGGCCTGACCTGAACGGGGCTGGGCAGCGGCTTTAAATCTGGGCCTTCTTCAGCTGGAACCCAGCTGTGTTTAGAAGCTGGCATCTGAACGGGCTCAGCTGACCAGAATTTCCTCTCCCAGGTCGTGAGTTGGAACTGCCCAGGCCTGATTCAAGCTCCCCTGGCTGGTCAGTGACCCTGCTGCCACCTCGTGGACTGTGCTTTGTGAGGATCTTTGAGAGGGTGGCCAAGAAGGGGTCACCCCTGTAGGCAGGGGTCCAGCTGCTCCCCAATGAAGAGAGTAGTCAGCTAGTCCACTGTGCACGTGCAGAGCCCTGGGGAGGCTCCTTAGGGGTTGGATGAGTGTGACAGTGTGTGTGTGAGGGGCAAGAGTGTTTAGGAGAAGTTCCCCACTCTGGGCTTTGAGGAGGTGCTGTGTGATGGTCAGGCTTGGATCTTCAGGACCTAGGACAGCGCAGCCACCCCAGGACCGCTTAGAGACAACCTGATGGCAGGCAAGGGAGCACGTCCAATGGGGAGGAATGGGCACCCGTGAGGTGCTCAGGAGTGAGGGGGTGGGGAAAGAAGGGGGGCTTCCCAGGTGCCTTGGTTGCAATTGCCACAATACCTGGTGGCACTGCCCTCCTCAGTTCTGAGGCCTCTTCTCCCACCCAAAGGGACCAGGCCATTGGCTATCTTGGGGGGGTGGGGGTGGTCTAAGGGTTTTCTTTGGGGAAGGGCTGGAAATGCAGGGGAGGGTGGCATGTCAGCACTGCTGAGGCATGCGGTGGGCCCTGGTCTGAGTGTGAGAGATCTCCTGTTGGAAGTGCAAGAGCCCAGCTTGGATGGGCAGGCAGGCAGGGGTCTGTGGAGGAAGAACTCTCCAGTGAAGGCGGAGCCGGAGGCTGGGTATAGGCGTCACATAGAGTCAGCCCTCAGCCACTTGGTAGCTTATCCACAGTGACATTTCAGATCCCAGTTCCCCTTCCACACTCCCTGAAGGAAGACACAAAGCTGAGAGTGGAAGTCTGCTCTGTGTATAAGCCTGGTGGATTGAAACCCTTGCAGAGAAGCCAGGTACAGAGGCTTCCGCACAGGCCTGAGTGCCATGGGGAAGCCAGGGCTGGGGAGCAAGCTCAGGGATAACCATGAGGAGGGGGGAGGACTGGGAATCCCCCAAAACCCCAGCTTGGGGCAAAGGACCGTGAAGTGGTAAGGAGTGCAGAAGATAACTCAAAATGGAAAAATCTGATGATACCTGACAGAGAAGGGGACTCAGCCTCAGCCACCTAGGGCTCCACCGGTAAAGAAGGCAGGTCAGTCTAGAAAGATGTACATGCAGGGGTGTAGGGAGATGTACATGCAGGGGTGTAGGGGCTGGAGGAGGACGAGGTAGAGTAGGGGAGGTGCCAGCAGCAGAGACTGGAGACCCAGGGCCTTAGCACTCCCCTCTCTGGTGGACTCTCCCTTTTCCTATTACCCACCCTACAGGGTGCACCCCAGTCTTCCTTTGGGCCCTTTCCTGGGTCAGCGCCTGGGAGGAAGGCTTCACATGCCCGGAAGCAGCGTCACTTTGGCCACGTGGGCCACCTAAGGAGCAAAGCAAAGGGTATGAGAGCAGCAAGGCCCAGGTGTGTTTAGAGACTTCCAGCAACGCCAATGTGATTCACTCTGGATCTCAAAACTGAACGTGTTCATTTTCTGAAGGTTCTAAGAAAAGAGGGTTGAGGCAGAGCGGAAGAGGAGAGGACCCTAACATCGCGCAGAGGGTGCTCTTGCAGCGGAGATGCCCTTCTCTGGGGGAGGGTGACCAAGGCGGGACCAAAGGGGTGGGAGGACCGAGCTGCTGTCGGGTGGACTGTACTGTGGCAGCAGAGGGCCCCGTGGATGGACCCCTCGGGTACAAGTCACCTGAGCCGGCCTCTGATGGACCCTGCATTGTGGGGCGACCCTGAGGGGGCCTCCCCCTGCCGGTCTACAGGCTGATGCCATGGAAGGCTGGGGGGAGGGGGTGCGGAGAGCGTGGCCCCTCCCGCAGACCCCTGTGGGAGAGCGAACCGAGGGGGATGCGGAGCAGAGAGCTTGCTCCTTGATGTGCTTGCTGGCCACGGTGGTTTGCGGGGCTGTCTGATTTTTTTTCTAGCCCACTTGCCAAACTGCCCACGCCCCTCCTCCTCCTCCTAACGCATGATGGATGCCCTTAGCGGCGGCCCTGTGTGAGGTTCTGCTACTGTTCACAGTGTACCACGTGTCTGCATAAACAACCGTGTGTGTGTATGTGTGTGCGTGTGCGTTGATGTGCCCACGTCGTTTGTCTGCCAGCTTCCTCCATCCTTTGAGTTCTTTTCAGTTCTCTTATGATTTGACTGCTGTTCTCTCATCAGAGCTTTTAGATTGATGCTGTGGTCTGGTGCTGTATAAATATTTTTCCTTTTGATTTCGTTTTAACTTTTCCTTGCCCTTCTTCACCCTCCACCCAACCGTCCCTGCCTTCCCACACTCCCTGACCCACCCGACCTGCCCCTGCCTCTTCCCTCCCCCTTGCCCACACTCTCTTGTCCTCTCTTTTCTTTCTCTCTCTCTCTCTCTCTACATATATAAATATATATATAAATCTTTTCTTCTTTTGTCATTCAATCAAATTCCAACAACCCAACCAGGGCCAGTCAAATCCACCACAGTCTCGCGCTGAGCTAGGAATAAAGTTCACGTAATCACATGAGAGTGGAGAAAACAGTCCCCCATCCGTAAGTTCAAATCAACTCAAAGTTCACAGTGTGACATGATGGCGTCATGTAACAAGGCTAAGAATCGGTTGCATGACAATTGCCGTCAAGTTTCGTGGAGGTGCTGTGATTGGAGCGTTTTTCTTGGATGTTGTATCAGTTGATGATTGGCCAGTCATGATCACACGTGCATTTTCTTGACCTTTGTGCTGCCACGACCTTTTTTGCTGTGCTCATTTTTGTTTCGTTCTTGGTGCTTGCAGTGGTTTTACTTTCTGTTGTTTGGTTTTTCTTGTTCAGCGTTTTTTATGCTTCTCTAGATGTCACATAGAGAAAAAAACAAAACAAAAGAACAAAAAAAATAGTAAAAATAAAGATGAATTCCTGAATTATCGGACATGGGATCATTAACCGTGCAAACCATTATTTTTTTTTTCTTAAAAATAAGGAAAACATCTTAAAAAATCTATGCGTGGTTGATTTACTTGCACTTGAAAATATTGTGATTTTATTTTTTTCTAGAAATTTGGGGGCCTTTTTCAATTGACACTTTTCTTAGGTCTGGTCTTTTTCCAGTTAGGCTATTTTAAATCTCACTTCAAAAGGAAAAATGAAAACAAAACAAAACAAAAAACAAAAACAAAATCTCTACTGTAATGGAATGATTTAAAAAAAAATTCTAAACCAAAAAACTAGAGTACAAAGCCAGAGACCTCTGAGAGAGAGCCTGGTAACAATTGTAAGGTTTGTATTGTAGCCACTTCTGCTAAATTAAATGTGGGGAAGGGAGGTGGGGGGCCTGGGGGTTGGGGGGGGCTTTTTGGTTGGTTTGGAAAAAACAGTACTGACAAAAGCAAAATGCACCTTTTTGTTTACAACTGAAAAAGGGTCCTTGACAAGTGTTTTTTAATTTTATTATTATTTTATTTGGTGTTGTAATTGTTTAGACTGCTGTGTACGGTTTGCTGTTTGTTGAATCAACAGTGTGAAAAACCTGCCAGCATGGATTGATATACGCATGACGTTGTCCCCTCAACTGGGGGCTTTGCAGTTCTAACTTTCTTGATGTAACCAGTCACCCCCATGTATAAGTGGAAGCTGCTTGCTATAATGGAGATGAGTCTCATTTGTTAATTCACAATGATTAAGCATTCTCCTTCTGATTCTAGTCAGATCATGATTTTTTTCTTAAAGGCAAAATGAAACACCAAAAAAGTCACCATTCAAAACAAAATCGAGAACTGAGTTAATTTATTTAAAAGCTTGATGATGAAATCCGTTCTAACTTGTTTTAGGTTCTCCCATCCTCTCCCTTGAAGTTCTGAATTTCCTCTAAATTCCCTGGCATGTATGAGAAAAATATTATGTGTGTGTGTGTGTGTATGTGTGTATCTATGCATATACATACACACATATCCATGTATATCCACATATGTGCAGGTGAATATATTCTACACATATATCCAGATATACATATATATACATAGCCTCGCAAATAGTTATGACCTTGGGAAAGAAGCGGTTGGCTGGAAACTGGGCAAGGGTTCAGCGAAATTCATGTCACGGATGTCTTGCTTCTTTTCCTCAAGCAGGGGAGGAGGGGGTTGGGCTGCTAGATTTTTGCTGTCTTGTTTGCTAGGCTTCTGTATACATATTGTATCTGGGCTAGATCCCTCAGACATTGGTTTAATTGTGAATCATATCCCACAGTCCCAAATTCTTCCCTTAGATCTAGCCACCCGCCCCCCACCCCATTCCAGAACTCTAAAGGAACCCAAATCGAGACCCCTCTCCCAACAACCAAACCTCAACTACAACCATCGCCACTCGACCTCCAGTGGTTTCTTATTCTGAATGGAAGAGTCAATTTCTTTTTTATGTATCATGATCATGACTAATTCTCATACTGGTCTCTCCCCTCCCTCCCGCCATCCCCCAGAACTCCCACCCTAACCCCTGAGGCAGGGTCCTTTTGGTGTTTGGATGTATTTTGTGTTTCCTCTCTTGACTTAATCAGCCCCGATTTTCTTCATTTTAGGGCAGGATGCTGAACGGGCTACATTAAAAAACAAACCTCTCTCTATATCTATTTATAAATGAGAACTGTTGGATGACACCTTTGACATATCAGCCAATATCAATCAAGCTGAAGACTCCAGACACTCTCTGTGACTGTAACATTTCTTCAAGGAAAGTATAGCGTCTGTGGAGTTCAGAGGGCACGTGTTTGGGGGAATAATATCTATGATACGAAGAAGAAGATGAAGAAAAATGAGAAAAAAAAACACAAAAAAGGCAACTTTCAAACAAAATAACTGGAGACCAGATGGGGAGGCTGGAGGGCTGGGAAGTGGGAAGAGACACTGCTTACCGATCCCCGGGGCTTTTCCAGCCCGTGGGCACCTGCGGCAGGCTGGGGCAAGCGGTGTGGCGGGGCCTGGTCCCCAGGAGGCGGCTGGGAGGCCGCCACTGAGCATCTCTATCTGTCATTCCTTTAGCTATTTAGGGACCAAAGGACCAAACTTTTTATTGCAGCTGTGTAGCTCTATGTCAAATAGAGGGGGATGGAGGAGAACCTCCTTCCTGCCTCATGGCTGTTCTTGAAACAGCTTAGAGCGATTCTATGAAAAAAAAATGTAATAAAAAAAAAACAAAAAAAAACACAAAAAAACAAAAAAGCAAAAACAAAAAAAAAAGGAAAAATAATGCTTCAATGCTTTTAAAACAGCAAGATAATAGTTCTTTGATACTTTGAGAGGCGCTTTGATTACCCTCATTCAAGTCTATGACACTTTCCTATGGTTTTCTGTATTATATGTCTGGATGGAGCTGTTAAGATGAACGAATTGGTGGATATTTGGGGGAAAGCAACAAAAATATTAAAACTCATTAACCGTGAAGTGTGAGAAAACAAGGAGGGGACAAAAGGGACTTACAAGGCAAGATAATTGTTGTGAAAAGTCTGTAAATGCTTCTAACTTTTCCCCCTCTTAAAATCATAATAGTTGTACAGAATTTTAAAAAGGAGAAGTTTAAAATACCTATATAATAGAAGAAAAATTAGAGGAAAGCAAAAAATAAAAAAAAAATAAAAAAGGAAAAAAAAAACCTATAGAAGTTAGCGTTACTGCTAAAATCCCAGATGTTGTAGGACTGTACTTTTGTAGAGTTTAGACTGAGCATCGATCCCTTCTCCCCGCGAGTGCTGTCGGACGCCGCCGTGCACCCCGAGGGCCAGGCCGGACTCGCCCAGACCTGCGGGCTCCCGGCCGCCGCCCACCGCCGCTGGGGGCCGCGCCGTCGCTGGAAGGCCCGCCGCCCGCCCTCGCCTGCTTCGCTCGGGAGCTGCGCGCGCTCGCCCGCTCTCCGCAAGCCCTCGACACCTGCCGCTTCACTCGCCTTCCATGCTTGCTCCAGAGACTTTCCGGGCAAGGGAGACCTGGGAAATTCATCTTAAAACAACTAAACAACACACACACACACAAAAACCTTAAACAAGAGAGAGAAAAATAAACAATCTTTGAAGAATTTCTGAAACTGTTTACAAGGAATTTTGAAAAACAGGGATGTTTAAATGATGCCGGCTCTGTTTTTCTGTAAATAAATTTGCATATTTTGTAGGACTTTTAATTGTAATGATAGAGAAAAAAAACAAGGAAAACTATTTAATGAAAGCACGATATTTATCTTTGGTAAATGACTTTAGAGCAGTTAAAAAGACATTGCTTAAAAAAACTCAGAATCAGAAAAAACACTGAATTATTTAAGAACACATATATTTTAAAGTATAACATATTTATTATAATTTATTTGCACCGTTGGGAAGACTTGCTTTGGCATTCTGCCTTGATACCCTCCTCTCATTGATGTCCAGGTCATCTGGAGGCCAGGGGGCTCTCAGACCTACCATCCCCCTCCCACTTTTTTTTTTCTTTCTTTACAGGGACAACTGTCTGGTTCCTCTTAGGCCTCCTGCCTTTCCTTTCTTTCTATTTCGTTGGTTAATTATTATTTTTTAAATTTTCTTTTTCTTTCTCTTGGCTCCTCCTTTTAGGATGTCCAGATGTTGTAAAAAAAAAAAAAACAGCCGCAGTTCAGTACAACTGCTCTTTTCACACTCAACTCCCTAAAACTCCTTGTAACCTTCTGTAACTATTGGATGACGCTTTCTCCAGCTTAGCCCTAAATAAAGCACAGTTTAAAAAAAAAAAACCAACACAAGACTTCTTCAGTGGTCTATGCTTCCCGGAATCTGGTCAGGTGGCCCATTGGCAATAGCTTGGTCCTTCTCTCCATGGCTTCTGTGTGCTCGGTTGGAATCTGAACTGTAGGGAGTACTTTCTGGGAGGTGATGGGGGGCATCAGAGGAGGTCCTGGTCCACACTGTGAAACATCTTAAGGTGTGTCTCTGAAAGCCTCCATTGCAAACCCATTCTTTTGGCTCCTGGGCCAGGATGGCCATAGTGCCCAGATACAAGAAACTACCCCCCTTCTCCCCAACAGGAGGAACCTGAGGCCACCTGTCCTGAGTTGGGGGTGAAGCACTGTAAGGGGTTTAGGAAGGAGGCAGCCGGGGCGGGGACCACAAGCGAGGAAGGATGAGGACATAACCCAAAAGTTGTCACACAGCATTTTCTCCTGGTCCTGCACCTTGTTGCACTGCATTGACAGTTTACAGGGATGCAGAAAACCATTCTGGAGGATGTCCTCGGAGTTGAGATTCTGAGGGGAGGTGGTGTAGAGGGATGAACTGCCTGGAGTGCTCCCACTTCTCTCAAAGCCAGGGGAGAGTTGAGACAGAAAGTGTGTTTGTGTTGTGGGGGGTCCAAAGGAGGAAGGTTGGGAGTCAGGATTTGGGGGTGGGGAGGTGGCCAATAGATAGCAGGTCCTTCTGAAGTGAGAGCCCAGAGGCACCTCAGTCACAAGCCTTCATCAGCCCCTGTCCTGGGACGGATCTCTTCTCCAGTTTGTCTCATTCCCTTCAGCCCCATGGTCTCCTCTAAGAACGAGCAGAGCCCACCAAGAGTCTCCTTCCCTTTCCATGTGAGGGGGCAGGCAGGCTTCCCGGTTTCAGGTGCCTGGTCAGGGAGGAGACAGGAGTGCTGGGAGACAAGAGTCCTTGTGGGTCTGTCTGTGCCCTCCTGTGGAAGAGTGGGGAATGGCTTCCGCTCTCAGATGTCTTCTCTGTTGCAGGGTGATAGAGAGCAGAAGTCAGAGCCCCAGCTCCCAAGTAATACCTGGACCTAGTGTTCAGTCCTCTCTTTCCACCTCTGTTCCCAAGGCCAAGGGCCAAGTCCTTGTTTCTCACACTAGCCTGTGAAATGTTAGCCCTAATGCATTAGGAGGTGGGGCAGGCCTTCAAGCCTTGACTTAAGTGTGGAGATGATTCCGAGATGAGATCCTCAAGGTCCCCTAAAACTAGCCCCACTTCCCCTACCAGGCTGTGACCCCAGTGACAGCCTGCTCTGCCCATTCGGGGGAGCTTGTAGGGAGCTGGCCTTCTTGAAAGAATTTATTGCAAAGGGCATGACATCATGTCAGGCGTTAGGCTCTCCTGTAGGAATGGGTAGGTGTTTTCTAAGGGATTCTCTGGGTTTTACGCCTCAGACTCTTCAAAACCATGGTTTCTGTTGGACATTCCCAGCTGGAAACCAGAGGATGACAGCCTCCACACCACTTCTGGCTTCCACTCTCAGAGCCCAGGGCCTCCCCTCCCCACTGGGTGTCCTTCTCTCTGGCACAGCTCACTGCTACCTCCACTGATGAGGCTCAGGGGCTGCAGGACCCCTGGGGGCTGCCCCCTGGGAGCTGGGCTGTGAAGGGGGTTGGCCAATTTTGTTCAGTTCCAGGTACCACTGACTGAGAGTTGAAAACACGGGAACCAGATGTGAACATGCCAGTTCTGTAAAATAAACGCTCTACTTAAAAACCACATACCCAGTGACTAGTGAATGCATAGCATGTTTAAGAGAAAGTACAATTTATTAACCTCTGGGGGAAAGTCACAGCTTCTTTGAAAACTTGCTGAAGACTATCGGGTCACTTTGCACACGATTACAGGGAGCTCAGGGACCACAGCTCACCCATCATCCCCTAGCCAAGAACCCCCGATTTGCAGTGTTATTTAAGAAAACCCAAGACCCAATTCTCATTAATTTCTGCCTATATCCTATGGCTTATATTCCTCTGCTAGTCTTCTACCTGCAGTTTTTTATTTCTTCATAGCTTCCCCATTTGAAAGACTTTTTGCTTATCATACATTTTTTATTTCAAGCATGATGAAAAGTAGAGATACCCACATGAAGAACCTCCATGTGTTTAAAGGAAAAAAAAAACTAAAAAACTACCACCTAGCTTTTTTTCCTTTAAAAACTTTATTTATTTTAGAGAGAGCACACCAGTGCACATGCATGTGAAGTGGGGAGAGGCAGAGGGAGAGAATTTCCAGCAGACTCTCCACTGAACTCTGAGCCAGCCACAGGCTCAGTCCGAGGACCCTGAGACCATGACCTGAGCTGAAACCAAGAGTCAGATGCTCAGAGCCACCCAGGTGCTCCCCACCCAGCTTTAACATATGTCAACTCATGAATTATTTTTGCAGCAAATCCTAAATATCAAGTAGTTTCATTGATAAGTATCTTGGTTTGCCCTCAACATTTTTTAAAAAAGATTTTATTTATTTATTCATGAGAGAGAGAGAGAGAGAGAGAGAGAGAGGCAGAGACACAGGCAGAGGGAGAAGCAGGCTCCACGCAGGGAGCCCGATGTGGGACCCGATCCCGGATCCTAGGATCACACCCTGAGCCAAAGGCAGATGCTCAACCACTGAGCCACCCAGGCGTCCCAGCCCTCAACATTTTTGATGCATTGTTGCTGTCTAGAGGCTGGTGTGGCCTGTGGGGCAGCTGCTGGGGGAACTGGTGGCCTCCCCCAGCCTTATCCTGCGGCAGGTGCTGGCTCCTGGTTAGATCCCAGGGCTCCTTCCAGCTCCTGCCCCCCGATCCCCCAAGGATTTTCAAAGGCCTTCAGCTCTCCATTCACTCTGTACTCACTTTTCTCTCCCTTCTCCCTTTCTGTGTGATGCTAATATGAAAAGAATGTGTTTAGTTAGAACTTTTAGTTAATAGCTCCCGTCTCTTTCTGGGTTTTTATAGAGATCTGACCTTTTTCCTATTCTGAGCTGGATCCCACGCACTCCCGCACACGGAGCGTAGTGAGATACAGACGGATCAGAGCCTCCCCACCCACACCAGTGTTTCCAGGTCCTCCGGCCTCCTGCCCGTCAAGCTCTACTGCCAGAGAGCTGGGCAAACCTGCAGCTCCCTCTGGCATGAGGTCTACTGGGCCACCAACCACAATGAGAACCCCACCATACGGGTAAGGGGGTCAAGGGACATTGGGCCCGTGAGCTCAGGGACCAGCCCTGCCCAAGGGAACGTATCAGACTTGGCGGAGAATACTATGCGTCTCTCTCACAAAATTGAATCCACCCTCGAGTAAAAAGTATTAGCTACCATTGGTTCCCCACCTCTAGTAGACGATTCACTCCTGGCGGGTGGACGTTCGTCACTGTTGATTCACTGCCTGCATGAATGAGGGAGGGAAGGAAGGAAGGAAAGCACTGCCTGCAGACCACTGAAGACATGTTCCAGAGGGGTGGGTGTTCTGAACATGCTTTTTAAATAATAATAGCACACTTGGAGTCAGTGTGTAGCCAGCTCTCTTTCCCCTCAGCTGAGTATTTGCAAGTATAGGCTTTTGACTTGAGAGTTGCCTCTCTGCCCCTCCATCCTGCTTCTCTAAGCTGCCCTCCTCCCTGCGAGTCCTCCCTTTGGTTCCCTGCTGTCTCCCCCATGCCCTTGGTGTCTGGTCTTCAGGCCTGCCCCAGCACCCCAGGCCCCTCCTATCAGCCAAACTCCTTTTCCTTCATGCTAGCCTAACTCCTCATCCCTTTCAGGAGCTCCGAACATCCCCCTCTGGGCTTCCACCTTCTGTGGGGGGGTCTAACCATGATTTGCCTAGACCAGGAGGAGGCTCAGAGACTAGAGTATGGGAGTGAAGAAAGCATAAGCTTTGACGTCTGACTATATGCAAACCCAGTTCTTTCAAATATCTTCTGTGTCACTTTGAAAAAGCTACTTAACCTCTCTGAGCCCCAGTCTCCTCCCTAAAATGGGGATAATAGTACTACCACCCCAAGGGTTGCGAGGAGTACATGAGACAGCCATGCACGGCTACCTCCTGCTGCCCCAAGGATTCTGAGTTGTAAATGATGGGAGAGAATAGATACTGAGAATGAATAGTTCCGGCTTCGATCCCTTTTGTCTCTTTCCTTAGTTCCATTGGATCGACACTTCACGTCCTAATTGAAGCAAGCTTGAAGTTGACATCAGACCACTGTAAGCCACCTTTTCCCAGTCCAGTCAGCCCTGTGACTCTCCCAGAGAATTCCTGTCATCTTGAGGTGCACACACCTCTGTTTCTTGCTGCTCACACTCTTTCCCAGGGACCCCAATTAGCTGCTGCTCCCATGCCCTTTCCTCTCCTTGCCCTTTATCCCAAGAGCATTCCTGGCAACACTGTGGCTGTTCTTGTCTACAAGCCTCCTCTGGGGTCACATGGCCTCAGGCTACATATTAATTTGGTCTTTGCATTTTAAAAATGTTCCTTGTTTTTTTTTAAAGGCAACATATTCATATATTTCAAAATTCAAAAAGTATGAAGAAGTATACGGTGAAAAGTCTTCCAGCCAGTGTGCTCAGTTATTTCTATTACCCTATTTACACGTGTGTACATGGGGGTCACTGGCATGAGGAACTCAGCCCTTATTCTCATTTTCAGTGGGGAGACCCAGAGCTGGGCAGTTGACAGCGCCAGGCTCCAACAGCTGGCCTGTGGGGGTCCCAGCAGATAAGCCCAGGCCCCAAGGATGCTCAGGACCCTGACGGCTGGGGAGAGGAATCGGGGCCCTCACACTCATGTTTGGGCTCTTCTTTCTGAGCCGTGGGTGTAGCTACCACTTAGGGGCGCTGGCTCTGAGCTAGACCTTGTGTTGAGCTGTCTCGTTACAACCCCACTTAATGCTCCAAGGTGGGTGTTTTCGTCCCTATTATACGAATGAGGAAACAGACTCAGAGAGGTGCAGTCCCTTACCCAGATGACCCAAGTCAGGGTCTGAGCCCAGGGCTGTGTGCAGAACGGTGGGTGCTCTGAATCTCCATACCTCAGCTCCCCGGGCTGTGGACCCTCTCCACAGCAGCTTCCTCCTATGCTGTGTCCAGCCTCCTAGCTCCTGGCTCCTGCTCACGGGTCTTTCAACCACCCAATCTCACCTTTGGGAAATGCATCATCTATGTCGGCTCAGGTGCCAGGAAAGGTCCTGTCCTCCTCCCCTTCATCAGCTGGGCTGGAGTTGGCTTCTCAGGCTTGAGTGAATGACATGGTACTTAGCATGCTGCTAAGGAGTCCAAAGTCCTCCCACCCTAGTAGTACTTGCTGGCAGTAGGGACAGAGGGGGAGCATGGAGGGAAACAGAAAAACCCAAAGACCCAATTAGCTTTTATTCTTAGCAAGGAGAGGAAGTTCAGTGGAAATAAATGGAATATTTATTAACAGTTTATGCAGCCACCTGAGGTTCAAAACCTTTTGTGCTTTTGTCCACTCTGTTTTCCCCAGTACACTGAACTCTGGAGAAAACTATAAGCAAATTCTGAAGATCAATGCAAACTGGCTCTCCATCACTCCAAATCAAGGGGAAGATTTGACCATTTCTGGGGGTCCCATACTCCACTAATTAAAGTATGAGGATTCCTCTCATCTCCAGAGTCTCCATGTGAATAATCTTGGCTACTGCCCCTCCCTCTTTACCTCCTCCTGGGGCCCAGCTCTGGGGCCCAGGCTGGGGGCACTGAGGTGGCAGGAAATCGCTGGACCCATATGCTGCCAACTTTGTCTCCCATCTACCTTTCCCTGGGGTCCCAAGAGGGGTTTCAGAAGCCAGGCAATTGTGGTTCATTTTTAGCCTGCGTGGGCAGGGAATGGACTCAACGGGAACTACCATGAGGGCCACCAGGTAGATCCAATACACCTGCCCTGTTATACCCCAGTACTGCTCAGGGCCTCAGATCCCACAGTGAGGCCTTTTTCTTTGGGTCAGACTTGGGCCTCATTTTGCCTAGTCTTTAAATGAAAATCTTCGTGGAAGGCGGGGTACACTGGTTCCCTACATACCAGCACTGTGCTGAGGATCAGGGGAGACATGATGATGACAGCACACACATTGCCACCCTCCGAGCACAATGCTGAGTGTGTTATGGGTATTCTTTCTAACCCTGCAAGCGACTCTGCAAGGTGCTATCACCTTACTTGGCCAATGAACCATCAGAGGCTTGGGGAAGGTAAATAACTTGCCCAAAATCACAATGCAAGAAAGTAACAGAGCCCAGATTCAAAATCAGCTGCACTCATCCCTCCGTAGGAGGCTCCTTGCCAAGCAAAGACAATTGACTGCAGGGTAGTGTGGTGCAGGGCATGGGGGAGCCCTGAGGAGGGAAGGTAGGTAACCTTGTCTGGGGGGGGACACTTGGGCTGAGTGTTGGAAAGTGAGCAAGGGTTAACTGGATCCCCAGAGAGGGGCCCTGGAGGACCAAAGGACCCTGGCGCTGCTGAAGAACTGCAAGATGTGTACATGGGTGGGGAATATGCTGGGGATGACACGGGGCCTGGCTTAAAAGCAATCCACCTACTGATGATCCGGACACCGTCCTGCCTATTTCACCGATGCCATGCCAGTTACCTTTCCCATAACCCTGGAGCCTGTTTTACAGACTCTGTTTTACAGAGTGTAAGCTTGTGCTCAGTCCCATGGTTGGGCAGGGCTGGAGTTTGAGCCCAGGTCCCCTGCTGGCAGATGCTGCCCTTGTGATCATTATTGCTGTGGGAGAGACTCCCTACCTGAGGCACTGGCCTAACAACTCTTCCCTCAGAAGCTTCTTCGCTGACTGTATTCCCTGGCCTCATACCAAGACACACAACCTGACCACGGGATGGAGTGAATGGAAGCAGGATTGTCCCAGACTCAGACCTCTGCCCCTGCCAGTTTTCTCCTTTGCCAAGCAAGCAGGTGTCCTGGGTCTCAGGAGTTTGGCCCAGCTCCCTGCTAAGTGTTGGGAAGGGCCATGGAGAACAGAGAGGGCAGAGGAGGGAGCCTGTGAATGCCCTCAGCCTAACTCTGGAGAGAAGAGCCATCTGAGTGAGAGAACGCAGCTGTTTTACCCACCACTTTATTCTGCTCTTGATTCTGGGCAGAAGCAGAAGCAAGTCTTGACACTTGCTGCCTTGCCCTGAATGCTGGGCAAACTTAAGAGGCCTCTGGGTTCCAGGTATCCTTTAATCGAGAACTACTCGAGAGTATTTTGTGCCTCAAGCATGGCACTCAATGCCTGGCACCTATTAGGTGCTCTGCAGTGTTTGCCAAATGAGTGAGAAAGGTGTGGCATGGGGGGATTGCCGCCTTTGGACCCCTTCTGAATACCCCATATCTGGTACACTATGGACAAGGCCCCTCTGCCTCCTCTTGCCCCAACTTTGCACAAGGATTAGAAGAAAGCCTGGTGGTTCCGGTCTTCTCATTACCCGGGGAGCTGGTGAGATGACAGGCATTTGGGAAAAGGTCCCTGGGGCCCTCATAGATGGCTTATGGACACAGATTCTCCTGTCGTTCCAGATTTCTGACCATTCACATTCTCCCTCCCCTTGGTTCAGGGTCCATTGCTCCAGAGAGCTCTAGGTCCAGCTGAGCACCTCTTTTCTGACCTCCTATTGGCCTCAGAGTGAGGACTGCTCCACTGGGCTTTCCTTCCACACTGTTCTGTACTGCTCTGTATATGTGGTCCCTTCCCTAGCTGAAGTCCTTGAGGAAAAGAAATGAGCTGTCTCCTTTTCCAATCTCCTGTCTAACTCTGGGCTGGTCAAAGACGGTAGTCAGAACCTAGTAGAAGACTAAGGATTTACATGGAATGTGCTGAATCATCAGAGGATGCTGAAACTTGTAGGTATAAGGAAGAAAATAAACAATATTTACATAGTCTCCAAGTATCCCCCACTTTCCACACTAACAAATTACAAAGGAAAAGTTAATAATTGTACAATTGTACCTTAGTCAGGTGATTAAAGTTAATATCCCCTTGACTGAAGGCAAGAGGTATCATGGGCCTCCTGGTGTGATGTACCGAGGACTCAGGACCACTTACTCCTGCTGAAAATGCAGAACCTGAATGCAATCCTATGAAAACAACAGACAGGCCCAAATTGGGGAACATTTTACAAAACAGGTGGCTTGTACTCATCTCAGAGTTAAATGTAGCTTACGAACCCAGGACAGAATTGTTTTTTCTTTTGTTAAAAAGGAAATTTGAGGAAAGGAAGCTAAGCTAGGAAGGAAATTGGGCAGAACTTCAGGTAAGGTCGCAGATGAGATAATGGCATTGTGTTGATGTTAACCTCCTGTGATCATGGTACTGTGGTCATGCAGAAGAATGGCCTGTTTTTAGGAAATCCATGGTAAACTATTAGGAGAAAGAAGAGTATTATGTCTGTAATTTACTGCTGAGTATTTCAGGAAAAAGATAATAATATATGTATTTATATACGTGTGAGAAAGAGTGAATGATAAAGCAAATGGTTTTAAAATGTTAGCACTTGGGAAATATGGGTGAAGGGTTTACAGGAATTCTTTGTATTGTTTCCAAAACTTTTCTGTAAGTCTGACTTCAAAAGAGAATGAAGAAAAAGTGTCCAGTTTGAAATTTGCTGGGTCAGCCTGAAGAGAGCTGTCAGCCTCTTAGACTGGGCATTGCAGGGACCGGCTCCCCACCCACCATCCATTGAGGGAACCGGGAGCCCCAAGTGGGGAGGAGACATGCAGCAGGGAAGCAGCCATGGTTGGGAACCTATGCAGGTGTCTTTCCACCAGACCCTGCTGCTCCTGTGGCAGGCCTAGAGGTAACTGGGTGGCTCTGTCGGTTTGGCTCAGGTCATGATCCTAGGGTCCTGGGATGGAGCCCTGCATCAGGCTCCTTGCTCAGTGAGGAGCCTGCTTCTCCCTCTGCCTGCGTATGCTCTGTCAAATAAATAAATAAAATCTTTTTAAAAGATCCAAAACACCAGGTCCAGTATTTAAGGCTGACCAGGAACTTCCTGACTTTGGGGGTTCTCTGTTCTCATGCCTTTGAGACATGGCTTCTTGCCGGGAACCCGTCTTTCCCTGCCTTTGCCCAGCAAAAATGTCCCTTTGCCCAGCAAAAAAGGTTCTGAGTGAAGAACCTCCCCTTCCCAGGAGCCCCTGTTCAGGCCTCTGTGATGACTGGCTTGTGGGAGCTGTACTGTAGTTCGACGTAGCTCTTGCATGCAGTGCGGGGTCAGGCACCAGGTCAGGGGACTGTGCCTAGTGCACGGTGGGCAATCAAAAAAAAATGTGTCAGAGTTTATGGTCCTGAACTTTTTGAATCTGATGAAAGCTGTGAATCCTCCAGTCCAGGTGAGCATCCAGGTGAAGAGTGAGATGGGAGATGGGTGACAAGAAGGCAGCTCTCTACCTAGACTGATGGTTTGGGAAGGCCAGGGGACATTTCCCTTTTGAGACAGCGTACTCCCCGCACCCCCCCAACACATATAGTAGGGGACAGAAGCCCCTGGGCTCCTGGCCCACTTCTCTGCTCTTTTCCCAAGCTCACCTGCAAGATGTGGGGGTGGCCCCCTCGCCAGACCCTCCCGTGCTGCGGCTGTACCTGCCGCTCCTCCTAGCAGGGCAAAAGCAAGCAGAGAGGTGGGGAGAAGTTCTGCTGGGGGGTCACTGCTCTTGGGTCCCTTCTCACACTCACTCCTACTCGACTTTTGTTCCTCTAGCACAGTAAATCTCCTTCTATTATTCTCCAAGTTGATATAGTAAGTTGTGTCATTTTGAGAAGAAATACATAATGGTATATTAGAGGAATCATGGATCTCCTCATTCATGCTTAGAAAAAATTTATTACAATGTAAGAAAGTCTGAATAGCATGAATTTATTATAATGATTTAACACTTCTGCACTTGAGTTAAAAATGCCTCTCCATAAATAACTGTCCCTGGAAAACATAGCAAATTTACACAGTTTACCGTTTTCCCAATGTTATATAAATCCAACAAGCTTAAATCACCTCCTGCCAGGAGGAAGAGGCTGAAAATCGGGGCTGCAGAGTTCATACTGTCTCAGCTGGCAGCGACAAGCAGCAGGACAGCTGGCCTTCTCTTCCTCCAAGCTTCTCAGCTCAGCACTGGGGAAGAGAAGGACAAAGAGTGGGGACATCCCAGCTTATAAGGGCAGCACAAGAGGACAGTGGACCCTGGACAGCCTGGCAGTGGTCAGGCCAGGGCCTGTCTGTGCAGTGGTGCCAGTGAGGTGCCTGCCAAGGCCACCCAGCTCTGGAGAGCAGTGGAAGGGGAGGGTGAAGCTGGTGCCCATGCCCTGTCTGGGCCCTCGTCTTCCAGCCAGACATCTCCTCTTCTCTCACAAACCCCAACAATGTTCTTTACTCCTGGGTCTTCTGGTCCCTCCACCTTCCACGCAGCCCCCTCTGGCTCTGCTGGACACCCTGCCTAGGCTGACTTGCAGGAACAAGTTTTGCCTTATTCTGGCTTTCCTCTGGGCCTCTGGGCCAGTGATCCAGGCATCAATTTGTAAGGTAGGAATTACCATCCCCTTTTTGCAAGTAATTTTATAAATGATCATAACTGAGGCTTAGAGTTATAATTTATGAAGCTTAACTTTACAACATATTTTAAATGTATAGAGTATAACGTGTCTAAATGTGTACAACTCACAAGTAGTAAGGCTGAAGGAGGAATCAGATAAACAGGCATTTCTAGCATAGCAAGTGTTGTGATAAGGGACATACAAAGGACTAAGAAAGCTCACAAGGTCAGGAGAAGGATATCATAGTGCCTTCAGGAACTATGGAAGTTCATAGTGGTTGGAGCACAGAAGTCAAGAGAAAAAAACAGTGGGGCCAGAGCTGCGCAGTGGGCCAAATCATGAAGATCCTCATGCATTATGCTCAGAAGGCCAAGCTCTCTCTTAAACACAACAGGAAACTAAGTACTGGGACTATCCAACACTTTTAAGCCAGGATGCGACATGGCAAGATGACCTGGTTGCTTCCTGGAGGACAGTAACAGGTAACCTTATGAGTACTTATTTATTTGTGCTGAGCACTCGATGCATTAGCTCACTGCACCCCCCAATAACCCCTTGAGGTAGGTTCTGTTATGATCCCCATTTACAGATAAGAGTGAGGCAAAGGGTAAAGTCACTTGTTCAAGGCCATCTGGTAGGAAGACAAATGCAGAAACTGTTGTGCTAGAGAAGTACCAGCAGAGATAGAGGTAAGGGGTCGTGTTAAGAAATAGGAGGTGGACTTGCCATTACTTGCAAGTTTGACAGGAAGGAGGAGACAGGAAGAAGGGAATAATGACTCTTCCAACCCCAGATTCCAAGTTGGAATTCTATTCTTTACTCGCTGATGACCTTAGTTAGGGCTTGTGGTGCACAAGATAACACTTTGAGAACCTTAGGTGTGCACAGACATACCCTTGCCCTCATTCCATAAAGGACTACAGGTGGCTTACAAGAAACACATATAAAAATGATTTCTTAAAAGTATGACTTTCATAAGCATTGAATAAGATGGCACAGGGCTTGGAGCTGACTGACAATTGTGTTCTCGCCACCTCCACCTGAGGGGCATTTGTAGTCTCCTTGGTCAGGTGGAGGTGCCAGGTTGACCTGGGGAACAAGAGGCGAGATAGGGTCTCTGGCCATTAATTGAATCCACTGGTATGATCCCCAAATTGGGCATTTCTGGCACACATGCCCTCGCCTAACATCTCTTAGCAACTAAAGTCAACTAGATAGGGCCATTTTTCCTGCCTCCAAGTGCTGTGATAGTTCTTCCTTGCTGGGTAGTTTGGGGGACAGGCAAATGGAAGGGACTCAGAGGTGCACACAGATTGAAAGTTCCATTCCAGCAACCACACAACCTAGAGGCGGCTTGGTGTCCACGTGATGGGAGCGAGTGGGAGTCAACCAGGAAAACCTATCAGTATGTGACAAATCGTTTCCTTTCTTTTGGTTGACCCAAGCTCCTGCTGTTTTAACACATACTGAAAAGAATAACATTTTGATAACCTGGAGTGTTGCTCTTGCTTTGGACCTCTGCCCCACTGATCTGATGAGGGGTGTTGAAGGGACCATTCGATATCAAAACCACATGGGGAAAATAGCCATGGAGATAATTTATTAACTTAAAATCTCATATGTATATAAACAATACTCTCTGAAGTGAGGATAAAGCCTGAGCTGGGAGGGGTCTGCCAAAACCTCCGTCCACCTCACTAGTGACGACAGACTTCATCTAGCTGGGCTCCTTTAGGCCTATCCCTTTCCAGAGTCTCTGGCCATGGTGCTGGGAGCAGGGCCGGGTGGAAAGAGAGGCTCTGACTGAGGAGAGAGCTCCTCCCTTCCCCAGGACATTTGGGATTTTTTAGATAAGTCCTCACTGTGGGGGTCAGCTTTGGAAGAACTCTAGTGTGCCTCCAGGAAGGATGACCGTCAGCAAAAGCTTTTCCTTGATTGACCTTAGTTTCCTAAATCAAGCATGTTGTGCCCCTGTAGGAGCTTGAATGGACATACTTTGTCCAGTCCCATGGTGCAAACATTGATTGGTTTCTCTCTCACAGAGTGATGGGCAGCAGGGTGGGCGATGTTGTGGCATTATCTGCAATACCCCTAGTATGTGTCTAGTCTTGCTCTGAGGAAGCAGCTGGAGGCATCCAGTCACTGTTGGGAACCCTTTACCAGTAAGAAAGCAGACTCCTCTGTGTCAGGCCCTCTCTCTGTAGGAAATCTGCAATTAGGCCAAACTTACAGGCTCTACAACAAACTTCTCATATATATAACATACACATATCTCAAAGTCAGACAGATGAAGATGCTAACATACGCTGTTCAATTCACAAGGAAGCCAATGGATTAGGCACATATTCACATCCCATTGCCCTGACACACAGGAAATGCCTACAGGATAAAGGCAACTGGTGGGGGAATGTAGCATATAAAAAATAAGTTGATTGACGCTCTGCTGAACATCCATCTTTGCTCTTCCAAAATGCTCATGCAGGGGGAGGTAAAGAAGCAGTTAAACTCCAATCTGTGGCACGTGACCACTCCTGCCCCCAGCCAAAAATCCTTAGCTTATATCTCTCATTTATGATTCTTCTAAAGGCAAACAAGCTTCTTAAAGAAATAATCCTTTTCTTGGTCTTTCTGGCATCCTCTTATTCTAGAAAGCTGTAAAGACACTGGTCTCCAAATGAGGGAGTGTAGTTATGGCTGATCCAAGGGAGATGGATGTACTTATGGTGCTCTTGACACTTATGGGGCAAGGAAGAGAGAGTTCTGGAAATCTAAATTTAATTGAGAAAATGGCTAAGGGCTCTCAGTTTTTTGCTCCCTATTTTGCTATACCAAAGGAAACTCAATTTTCCAAATGCTTTCTGAAATGGGATGAAATTGACTCAGTTCCTGTCATGAGGTGAACTTTAAAAGGACACTATAATCTGCAGTGTTTTTTCAACTTTGTAATTGAATGCCTAAAATTTGTTAATCTTGACCTCAGATTAAGGACTGGTGTTGGTAGATCTCATTTTTCTCTTCCCCAAACAGCAAGAACACCAAAGGGAGGGAAGGCTAAGTAGAGGTGACAGGGCCTCAGCCAGAAGAGACAATGAGATTTAGATCTATCTAGATAAAGAATCTATTTAACAAGGCTTTTGTAGGCTGACATAATCTAGTTTTGATAAAGAATTCAGGGAAGCCATGCAGGCTCACCAACAGCAGTTTACCCTGGGTGGTCTGACTGTGGCTACCAATGCTCACTGATAAAGACTCTTGGTCCCACTTCAAGTCTGGAGTTGGGTGGAAGGGAGAGAGAAAGAAAGTGATACCCTCCAGATGAAATAAAGTCATCCACTACTCACTTCTGGGGACACATCTCCCTTGCTTCCAATGACTGGGAAGTTGTCAACTCACTGGCTCTAGCAGGCTTATCATGCTACCCATCAGCACAAGAGCCCACTAGAGCCCCTGTAAGCTGAAGGACCCATCTCAAGAGCTCTGCCAAATAGGAGAACAGAGAATGAGGTCTCAAGTGTACTTCTTCCACAAGCCTTCTCTGGGTTAAATGGAGGCCCAGTGGGAAAGATTGGTAGATGCTGCTTGGAGGGGCAGATGGAAATCTGGCAAGTAGAGAGGGCTCTTTGGGGTCATGGGACAGTAACACAGAGCAGAGCACATAAAAGGCCTGGTCAACCTTGGGCCTTTGATCCTTAAGACGTAAGAGGGATGACCAGGGAAAGCCGATCAGCCTATGGTATCTGATGCTCCTTTCTCTCTAGTGGCATCTTCCCCAGACACAGCCATGAACAGCTCACAAATATAGACACTTGAGTCAATAAAAAGTACTGAGTTATTGCTCTTATTTATCCTGGGAAAGGAGTGGATGGCAGGAAAAGCATGTCAGGCCTGTGCCTCCATTTTATTTCCAGAGGGCAGTTGTTCCAGGTGCATTACTTAATGCTGGTTTCCAAGGGTTGGTTGGGTCCCTCCCTCCGGCCCACTGTGCCCTGTGGTTAAGGGCTGATGACTCCTGGAAATGACTCAAGACTGGTCCTGGTGACGTCACAAGCAACGGGGAGGGGCACTAAGCCCAACTTCAGAATTAAATGACTACCCGTATACAGAGGTGAAGGAGAGCTAGAGAGGTAAAGGTTCTTTCTTTCTGAAACTGCTTATGCTACAAAAGGGCTCCATTTCAATCAGAGGGATCTTTCCATGAAAAGGTTTTCCTTGTGTACAAAAGAAAGCCAACGTTTTCCAATAAGGCATTGCGAAGGAAACACTGGAAATGAGGCTGAATATGCAAAGGGCTTTGCATGTAGAAGGTATTCTATGTTAATTTTCTAATCTCTGCTTGGCACGGGAAAGATATGGCCCTCCACTCCCATGCCCCCTTAATATGTTACCTACTGATTGGTCTGATCAAAACCACCCTGGGTTTGTAGCATGATTAGTTCAACACATAACAGGATGTTAGTGAGAGAGGCCATTGTGAAAGGAGAGACACGGTTACTTTGCAATAAAATAATTAAATCCTAGATCAGTATATAAAGAAGCCCACACATGTCGTATGGGAATCTTGTAGCATGTGTTTCAACGTCAAATGAAAAAGATATCTTCCAGAATTTGATTCTCCTCCAGGTCTTCAGGGGTTCTGCCTGCCCCCATCTTGTTCCATGTTGATTTTCGAGGACTGAGTCGGCGAGTACTGTGATTCCAGGCCCCAGCTTCTCTAGAGGGATGGGGCTGAGGTTTGGGAGCAGACTTTGGACTCAGAGATTGAACCAAATCCAATAGAGATGTTTCATACCTGCAACACACACAACCCAGACAGAAACTGATCAGACCAGTGGAATATCAGAATCCAAGAGGCCTACAAAAATGGGCTGCCAGTAGCAAGAATTGGATCAGTGATCACATCATGTGCAAGAAGGCCTTCTAGGGGAACTTTCTGGAAGTCGAACAGCAGAAGCCCCCTGTTGTCTGAAAGCTCTTCTCTTCTGTTGATCACTGACATTCTTTTCTGAGCTGTGAAGAGAGACTGTGGAGTGGGAAAAGGAATGGTGACAACAGTAATGACGGTAGTAGTAACATTTATTGTAGGCTTACTAAGTATCAGGCACTGTTCTTGATGCTTTACATACTTAACCTTCTAATCAACTCTGTGAAGTAGGTACTATACTAGTCTGATCTCTATTGTGCATACGAGGAAACAGAGGCTCTAGGAAGTAACTCATCCAACATGTAGCCATCATGTGGCACAGTCAGGATTTGGACCCAGGTAGTTTGTCTCCAGTGCTCACATTCAGGACAGTAAAGCAGCTTCTCAAAGTCTTTGCAGCCAGACAGACCTGGTTTAAATCTCTGCTCTACCATTTGCAGGCTGTGTAATCTTGGGAAAGCCCTTCAACCATTCAATTCAGATTCTCATGCATAAGGAGTTAACAGAACTTCTATTAGGGTTAAATGAATCAGTTGGTATAAATTAACATAGTAAATACTCAATGCTAGTCCCGTCCTGCTGGCTTACTCCCATTCTCTCTAGAATCTTGGGAAAAGAAACTCTCATCTGAATCTATGAAGAGCTTCCTCCAAAGAAAGACTGCCTTGGTATCCAGCATTTTCATCAGAAAGGGATAAGCTTAGATCAGCAGAGAGGCAGAGAAACTAATAGTGGTCAATAACACCCTCATCCATGGCTCATCTGTATGTATTCCCAGGATGGAAAGCCAAAGGCATAAATGTATGTCTCCATAGTCATTCATACAAGGGGCCAAGTAATTTCTACAGATATATCATGAAGCCTTGAGCAGGGCGTGTGTGACCTGTGCAGGTGCACAGGGCCCTGGACATGGCTTACTGCTCTTCTGTTGTGGTCTTGAAACTCTTGATTTTATCTTTGACCTTGTGTTTTACAAATGAAGTCTGATGAGACAAGACAGCAGGTGTGTGAACAGAGGAGATATGCTGGGAATGCATATGCGGGTTCAGGCCACAGGCATAGTGGGCAATGGACAGTGTGTGTGCCAAACAGTTGGCCTGCCTGCCTGGTGTGCACACTCATCCAGACGCAGCCTGGGGCACCACAGGGCTTTGAGGGTGTGGCTGGGGCTAGGGCCTGGGCCCTTATCGATGACGGTGATGGCAGCAGCAGGAGAAGCAGCAGTGGTGGTAGCGGTGCTGAGAGGCTGCCTTGCCTGTCTTTTCCCAGAACCCATCCCTGAAGCAAAATATTAGCTTTCTCGCCTGAACACTGAGATGAGAATGGTAGCATTTAGGCAATATACATCCAGTAAAATAGATATAAAATAAAAGCATACACATGGACATTGCAATAAAGCACATTGAGGAGATACAGGAATTCTTCAAAGAGTTTAGAATCAGGTTTTAAAATCTGCTGCACCCGGGGCTTCTGGATGGCTCAGTTGGTTAAGCATCTGACTCTTCATTTTGGCTCAGGTCATAATCTCAGGTCGTGAGATCGAGCTCCGCATCAGGCTCTGTGCTGGACATGGAGCCTGTTTAGGATTCTCTCTCTTCCTCTCCTCTTTCCCCCAACTCACAGGTGTGCTCTCTCTCTCTCTCTCTAAAAAACAAAACAAAACAAAACAAAAGCCCCAAACCAGCTGCACCATTGCAAACTAAATATCCACGGGTTTAGAAATTAAATGTAAAGATTGTTGCATCTCATAGAAAATAACACTATTTTCATATGCAGCTTCAAATGAATCAGTTAATGAAGAAAACAATTTTATTTATTTACTTTTAAGATTTTATTTATTTATTCATGAAAGACACAGAGAGAAGCAGAGACATAGGCAGAGGGAGAAGCAGGCTCCCTACCTGAAGCCTGATGCAGGACTTGATCCTAGGACCCTAGGATCACGACCTGAGCCAAAGGCAGACACTCAACTGCTGAGCCACCCAGGTGCCCCGAGGAAGATAATTTTAAAATTAATTTTTCTTTGTCATGGAAGATACGGCAATAGAAGGCATAAGTAGGAGTTTTGAATTATATACAAATCATTATATACAAACTATAAACAAATCATTATATACAAGCCAAAAGTGACTTTTGGTTTCTTGTATGACCTCTACAAGTTATGGGATATACCAGAGAAAACCAACACTGAACAAACTTATATTTAAAATTAGACTTTCTGACATACATAAAACTAAGGTAAGGAGCTATATCTTTTAAGAAAAGTTGTTCTGTGTCATAAGCTCAAGAGATAGAATTTATATTTTGAAATAATTTATCAGAAATCTATCCTAGTGTTGTCACAGTCTATAAAATATTCCTAAAAGCTCCACTGTCAGTTTATCAGCAGATTCTTCTCAAAATTAAAAATTACCAAAAATTATGTGTGATGTTTCATTTGCCAAAGTGACTGATTTGCTTTTAATTGTATCATTTAAAATAAAAGTTGTTAAGTGTATCACTTTTGATGATCTAATAAATGAATTTAAAGAAAAATGAGCCAGAAAAATCTTATGATCAGTCAAGGTATCACATTAATAAAGTATTACTTATTATATAAAATTGTGACCTCAAAAATATAAAAAATTTTTGCTATCTGTAGGTTTATGCTAATAATCATGTATCACCCTTATTGATTATGCTTTATACATTTCTTTTTAAAGAAAAAAGCTGGGATGCCTAGGTGGCTCAGTGGTTGAGCATCTGCCTTTGGCGCAGGGTGTGATCCCGCAGTCCCAAGATCAAGTCCCACATCAGGCTCCCTGCATGGACCCTGCTTCTCCCTCTGCCTAAGTCTCTGCCCCGCCCCCTCTCTCTGTGTCTTTCATGAATAATACATGAATGAATGAATAAATAAATTCTTTAAAAAAAGGAAAAAGCTTTGTATTTTAGTACCTTAGCACATTTTCATACTACTTTTTGAGCAAGGGGTCCTACATTTTTATTTATATTGGTCTTGTAAGTTATGTCACTGGCCCTGCTCTCAAGTCCCCGCCAAGATCAGAATAACATCTCAGGTGTGGAAATATCATATTTTATATGGTATGAAAAACTGTAAATTGAGAATCTTTTGAGCAGATTTTTTTTTTCAGATTATTCTCACAGCATTAAGGACAATGGTTTCTGTGTTCAACCAAAACATCTTAGCTTGAGGTGTAAGCCTATGGGTTGGGTACTGTTTCCAAGAAAGTTTCTTTATCAGAAAGACAAGCCTACTTCATGCTCAAGGAATAGAGTTTGTTTGAACCTTCCTTAGAGACATGTGGCAGTCTTGTGGTAATATTCATCTCTTCATATAGTCAAAACATTTTTATAAGTTAGAAACAATGGAAAGCTGTACTTTTCTATACAATTTCATGCTTAAAACAGCTAGGAAAGGTATTCTGAATGAGGGAATAAACCAGCTGCTTTCTCTATTAAAAAATAGAGCCAAGATAATTGGGGATCAGAAAGTATGTCAGCAATCAATCTTTCAGAGACACAGACTGAAATAGAGAGTAATGATAGGGATTTGTGTTTAAAGACTGATTTAATAGGTACCAACTTATTTGATTATTTGAGAAAAATGTGGGCTTCAAACTCCTTCATAGTACTCTTATTCACATATAATATTGTAGAAAAAATCTTTATAATAGGGAGTGACCCACAAAACCATGGAGAGTTAGATCTAATGTATTAGTATAAGTTAGATTACGGAACAGAACAAATTAACGTCAAAATTCCAATGGCTTGGGCAGCCCTCATGGCCCAGTGGTTTAGCACCTGCCTTCGGCCCAGGGCATGATCCTGGAGATCTGGGAACGAGTCCCGCATCGGGCTCCCTGCATAGAGCCTGCTTCTCCTTCTGCCTGTGTCTCTGCCTCTCTCTCTCTCTGTGCCTCTCATGAATAAATAAATAAAATCTTAAATAAAAAATTCCAATGGCTTTATAGAAGTCAAATATATTTCACGTTTATGTTACAGGTTCATAGTAGGTCCAAATAGAGCGGCTCCACTATCTTTTGGCTACATTATCTGGAACATGTAAGCTTCTCTATTGTTTTGGCAGGGCAGAGAAACTCCAAAATTATATATAGGTTTCCACAGCCTGGAAGTGACACAATACTTCTTATATGTGATTGGCCAGAACTAGTCATGTGGCTCCAGAAGAGGAGAAGAACCAGATACTGGCAAACACTTGGTAATGCTTAGTCATGGAGGACTCGGCCTCGGCTTTCATAATTTGAAATAATTCACTTATTTTACTGATGAGGAACCTGAGGTCCAGAGGGCTAGAAGTGAACTGATTAGGGTCATACAGCAAGTGAGTGGCAGAGCCAAGTGGTTTTTACTTCAGGCACCTTGGCTTCCCTAGACTTGTGTATCTTCAGTCTTTCCAACAAGATAGATAAGATGTGTAACTATAGGAAAAGTGAAAGAAGAAAATGGTTCCTCTTTCCACTGCATTTTATTTTATTTTTATTTTTTAGAGAGAGTGCACATGCATGCACGAGTGCGGGAGGGACAGAAAAGAAGGTGAAAAAGAATTAAGCAGGTTCAGTGCAGAGCCAGACTTGGGGCTGGATCTCACAACAATGATATCATGACGAGTCAAAATCAAGAGTAGGACACTTAACTAAATGAGCCACCCAGGCCCACTAGATTTTATTTTAAAAGTGTAGTATGATTAGTTGTAACTCTGTGTGAACATATCCATATTCCTAATCAACTGGGCTATCTTTTGCCAACAATTTAATTACCTAAAGAACAAATACTTATCTGCATGGTTCTATTGTTATCATAAAAATTCTCTTTCTCTAGAAACCATATTCAATCATGGTTTACACTGT